GGAACAAATTTTTAAGAGAGGTTTGTGCCCATAACATGTTATACAGGTCAACAAAGAAAATTGGAGGGCCTGGAAAAATGGTTGAAGTAGATGAGAGTTTTTTCTAAAACAAAAAATCATGTAGGGAGAGTTCTTCCTGAACAATGGATGTTTGGCGGAGTTTGCCGAGAAACAGATGATTGTTTCATCATAAAAATAATGGACAGAAAGGCAACAACTGTATTAGAATGTATTAAAAATAATATAGAAGAGAGAAGCACCATTTATTCTATTAATTAAATAAAATAATATAAATTAAATGAAAATAAAAGTGTTTTATATGTATATATTAAGTATGGGCGTACATGCGTAGTATGCATTAAGTGCTTGTTTCATATTTTGTATAAAATGTTAAATAAAATTGTTTTATATATAAATATGTTGTAAAATAAAAGTGTCTTGTAATTATTACATTTGGTTTTGTCTATTTCAATTTCTATAAATATGAATATGAATAGGGCTTATCAGAATTATCAGTGTTCAGGTTACAAACATTGGCAGATAGCAGTCCATCCAGACCGGATTGTTCACAAGTATTTCTTTCTTTTTTATTCATTCCAATTAACTAGATTTCCAGCTAAACTGACAATGTTAGGACAGATAAGCGAGAGCTTATGTATTATTTACAGGGAAAAAATGAAATTTATATAGCCTCCATATACATTCTGAAAAAGAAAGAGACAGAAAAGGCACTTTGTGATTGTCGATACAGATCTTCATGTGTCTCTACAGAATAAAAATCAAATAGAGTTTAAAAAATTAAATATGTTTTTTATCTTACTAAGTAAACACAATGTACAATAAATCAATAAGGAAAATTTAAAAAAAAATTCATTCATGACAAATAGAATTTGAAGTGAATATTTTAGCAAATTCAGTTATTGTCTTAAATAGGAACTCATTTATTGGTGGGAAAATTGAAAATCTTATAAAAATGTTGCAAATGCTAAAGTTGCTAGTTATGAATATTTTTCTATGTAGGCTTAAAAGAGAACTATGAAGATATTTGGGCACAAAAACTAAGAGTAATTATGTCATATACAAGTAATGCAAATTGTTATAAACATAAAAATGTATATAAAAATCAACATTTTTCTAATAAAAAACATTGTTACTCACAAATTTGATCAAATTGTAGTATTTTTCATTTTTAGATTAATATATAAATTAATGATATTTATGTACTTTTCACTCTTTACTTGACCAAAACATGTTGCAATGTACCGTCGTATCGCCTCTTATTATCAGTGTTCAATCAAATTATTTCATAGTACAAGTTCCTAAAAAAATAATGAAGAAAAATTCATGAAGTAATAAGTGCGTAGTAAGAGGCAGTAGCGACATAAATTATATAACATTTTTCATAAATGTTAAGTTTCACAATGTGGAATTTAAGGTCAAGAAATATAATCATCCTAGAGTCCTAAATATGATACTTAAATATTAAAATTTATATAGTCACTTAAAAATGAAAGATGCTATTCTTTGATCAATATTATCTGACATTTAATATGTATTCATTTAGTAAGCCTTCATGGCATGAAGCGTATATTACAAATGAAAAATTATATTAAATGGCAGTTAAGATAACCCTTGAGTACATGGCGCTCATGGGATGGCTTTGATTAACATTTGACAGATCACCTTATTTAAAAATCTACACTCACTTCCTGTTATTTAATATTTTAATCTTATTTGGAAAAAGACAAATAAATTTATTAATTTGATAAAAAAAAAAAAAAAAAAATTATGTGGGACCATTTTATCATAAAAAATTAAACATAAAATATTATTCACGAATTGTCAATATTAAGAACACCCCAATTAAAAATGTTCTTAGCAATCTGTCAAATAAAATTACTAATGATGGAGAGTTGGCTGCGCATATTGTACCAGAGCACTACTTTTCCAACAAGCAGGCTTAAAGTTATACTGCCATTGAAGCAGTATTTCTATTTATATTTCCAATTGAAATTTATTATAAAGTGATGCTAAAAACTAATGAAATAATTCTGATCTATTCAGCACAGATATTCATGACCAGTTTTCAGCATACAAAAGATAGATATTAATTAAGTTAGTATAATAATCTGTAAACATAATGTAAAATAGGTCACTGAGGGAAATTTGATCACTGATACATGAGTAGAAGAAACAAAAAGAAGTAATTAACCTCAATCTTCTTCAAAAATAAGATTTTCATTTAGATAATAAAAGAAAAATATATAAATAAAATTTGGAATGAGTACAGAAATAAATTACACAAAATTAAAATCCTAATTTTAGTCAATACAAAATCTAATGGACGATGTACAAAATATATCATATACAAAAAAATTAAGCCTTTTTTACAAGGTTCCAATTTTCGTAACGATAATATTGTCAAGATAGTGAGGCAGTGGCAGTGGCCTGTACATTGTCAGATAATTGGAGAAAGTTAACGAGTATAGAAAAGTAGTGATGTCAAGATTATTTTAAAAAAGGCAACTCGCTCATGGCTGATTTTCATTTTATGGTTCCTTTCCACTACAATATATATTCAATTAGGATAAGATTTTTAATCTTTTTTCGCTACTACGACAGGGTGAAGAGACACTTCTTCATAATAAAAAATAAAAATTGGAAAAATTAAAGAATAAGTTGATTTTAGAATTGCTTCAGCCACTAAAATGTCATTACCACCCATCCTTGTGTACTGCTCTAGTAAATATATATTTAATTATTTTGTAATCCATGTTAAATCTTAATAAAATTTATTTCCACTCATAAAAGATAACTTGAGGCTCCTGGATCACTTTATTAAATTTTTTTTTTACAGTGAAGTATGTCCAAACTGATATCATTAAAAAACAAAAAGACAAAACTTCACAGATAAAGCTTTGAGAAAAAAGGAACATCAGGAACTTTTTTTCAAAAGATAGTATTAGTCTGGAGCTAGAACAACAGCCACCAATGGACAAATTACTTCAATTGGGGAACCTGCCTTCACGGATTTGTGTCGCAAGACAAGTAGCATGACTTATGATTACCATTACCATAATCATTATTACAACACCTATCATTTAAAATTATTTCATTCATTATAATTAAAGTTTGACTAACGGAAATTGTAAGACAGAAGACAGCTAACAAATCAACTATTTTTAAAATGTGTGTCAAAGTGATAAACCTGATAGTACTGACAGTACTACCAACAGAGCAAAAGCCATATTGTATTACAGTTTAAAGGTGAGAAGTGGCTGTAGCTGTCGTGGAAATTAGGTATAAAACATATACTTTATGACTATACATACTTTATGGCAGTAAAAAATCAAAATTATCAATTTCCTTTAAAAGGAGATGACTGGCCAATGAAAAAATTCATTTTGTTAAATAACTTCTCTCATTTATCGCTTTGGACAAACTGATATGGTGGAACAGCATCTTTTAAATAGTCTATAAGAAGTAAAGCCTCTACTAATGGCATATACATCTTACATTAAGAGAAAAATATGCAAAGTATGATCCATGTCATTATCCATGCCATGAATAAAACTGATAAAATTCTAAGGGAAAGCAACTTTATTTTTAATGGCCATTATTCAATGCTAAGCATAGATATACTTATAAGTGTATGAAAATGGAGAAAGTGTAAGGTAAGGGATATTTATGCAAACTATCAAATTTTGAGTCAATGATGTAGATTAAACTAAATTTTCATTGTAATTAGAATCTTGATCCCACGGTAATGTGCATGTGCTTGGTTGCCATATTGTCTGAGATTGACCAATTGTATTGAAACAATGAAATTTACCTTTTAAGTTACCTTAAAAATCTATCAAAGATTAAAGTTACAAAAAACGACAAATGGTTAAAGAGGCCTTCCAGTTTAAATTTGATAACGAGCGTTGCAGTTTTAAACATTTTAAAAAAATATAAGCTTCCCATAAAATAGATATGATAATCGATAATTCCATCTATTCTAAAATTTATTGATTTTTTAAATTTTGTGAAGAACTAAGGGTATTTTATTAAAATAGAGATTTGAAAATAACAAATTTAATGATGAAATAAAAAACAAATTAAACAAATAAAAATAGGGTCATATTGTCAGTAAAGAATTCATCAAGATTTTCTGAAAAAAACTGCAAACATTTTAGGACTTTGTCAAAAAATTACAATAGCAATAGCCATTAAATAAATTACTTTAACAGCACTGAAGGGTTCTATTAAAAATAAACTTTATTTATTTATGAAATAATACCTGAATAATAAGTCACAATATCTGTAATTTTATTTTCAATCTCTGCAAAAGTAATGGTTTTAGAACAAAAGAGATTAACCTCTATTAACTATATGTTCATAAAACATAAACATGTATGTACTATTTTTATATCTTAATATAATTTAAATTGACTTATTAATACAAATGAGCACAAGTTAGTTGATTTAGACTAATTCCTTTGAATTAAAAAAAGTAAATAAATAATAATAGAGGTTTTATATTTAATTAATTAAATAGTCCAAATTTTAAATTTTCATACTTACTTTTAAAATTCCAAAAATAAGCAATTATAACAGTTAAATTTTACTGGCATACTTATACTAATGGTTTTATAAATTATTAGACAATTTATGATTTATTAGAGAACGAGATTAGGTTAGTAAAATTTAATAATATGACTTTAGGAATATGTGCTGACAAAAACATTGTTTGGTGTTCGAGTAAACATGTTTGAAAACTAGTGTACTTCAATATTCCTAATAAATAACTATGTACAAATATCTTAGTATGGACATATTGAGATAATGAAAAACAATTTTTTTTTTAAATTTAACATTTAACCCGTTTTCATAAGTTTTGTCTAAAAAAGTCCTTTATTATTTTTCATTAAAAAATAAATAAATAAATAAAATATTATTAACTATTATTTACTAAACAAAAAAAATTTTGTAAAATATGATTAATGATAGACTTAGTCCATAGTCTAAAAATAGATATATTAAAGAAATGTGAATATTTATATTCTATTAAGTTAATGACAATAACATTTTCCTGCTTTATAAGCATGACTACACAAGAATCCTTCACTGAAAGGTTTCTTACTTAATGTAAGTAATGTATAATTTTGTTTCCATGGTAACATAGGCATAAATAAAAGAAGGAACTCAAACTTGTCGCTAGGTTGAATCCTTATACCATTGAAAACAAAATATGGCGTCACCAACCTACTAAATTAAATTATTCTAAATAATAAAATATTCTTGATTTAAAGTTATTAGATGTTACTTTGTAATACTTCTATGAATGTTTCATTATTAGAAGATCAATGAATTGTATCTTAATACAATAAATTAAACTTCTAATCAAAAACACTTCTATTAATTACTAATAAAATATTTTAGTGACCGAAACAACGTGCGAAGTATTTAATGAAGAAAATATGTACATTAACATTCATTCTATTAAATGTAATAAAACAATGCAAGATTTTTTAAATAACTACTCGTTACCAGCCAATAAGCTGGAGTTAAAATTGGTCTGAATTAATAAAAATACACTAAGTTAGTAATTATAGCTTTCCTTATCTCTCAACTCTCTTATGATAAAAATGTGGTGCGAGATCATGAAGCCATTCAGGTTTCACAACTGTAAGATCCCTCATATACATCTTTTGGGTATGTAGGGTTTCACAATACACTATCCTGAAGAAAGAAAAAAAGAAAATTTAAGTTTTAATTGTTAAATGAGAAACAACAAAATTATGTAAACATATTAACTATCATAATACCACTGAGGTTGTTGTAGGGTGTAAAGCACTGATGACGGATGAATGAAGAGATCTTGATTTCCTCGAATAGTTTTATAAACCCCAGATGGATGAAGGTAAGCAGCATTTGGAAAAAATCCTGCTGTAATACACTTTAAGACGTTTTCAGTATTCCCTGAAAAGTAGAGAAATGATATACCAATCACAATGAGCTATATAAAAATCTATTTGAAATATATATATCTTTAAAGTATAAAAGCTTGAACAACTTTGGTTGAATTTAGAAGAAATAGCTTGTTTAGAAATCAAAAGGAAGGCAATAGAAAAATGAGAAGTGGTATGCTTAAAGAAAAGAAAGGCTAACTGCATCCAATTATGAGTTTGCACACAAGAGACGGACTTCCACCAAATAGTCTCCTGTTGTAAAAAAAAAACGATAATTTTCTTTCTGACAACTATATCGACAGAATTAAAATGCTATTGAAACAAAGTAGTGACTATTACTATCAAGTTTAGGACCAGCTGCAAATAGACATACTATTTCTTTTGAAGCGTGGATTCCCTCAGATATACCAGACGAGGACTAAAAATAGTTTTATTTACTGTTGGCCTGTATTTTGACTACTCCATCAATCTTAGGGAAAAGTAAGAGGAGGGCCAACAGCATCAAATTTTAATAACTTGACAAAAAAAAAGATAATTACTTGAACTGTTTTTTTCCATTACTAAAAAATTGTAATGAATTTCAGCAGTATTTAATGTTTGCATCAAACTAATTTAGTTTTTTTTTTTTTTTTTTTTAAAGTCTTTCAGATAAACAGATAATAAACATTACTAACATATTATAAAATGTGTGTACCTTTTGAAGAAACTAATGAAAGATTAAAGTGCTTCATTAGAATTCCAAGCTGTATTAGAATCTGAGTTACTCTTTTCATTGCCTTATAGTTGACGAAGTTGGTATAACACCAACCTTTCCTTTCCTCTTCTTTCACTCCAAGAAAAGCAGTATACACATTTAAAGCTGTCAATAAATCTCCTTCAACAACTTCAAACTGTCTTCGTTTTATTCTAGCTTTCATTGATAATGCTCCACTAGTGACAACAGTAAAAATATTTTCTACCTGAAGAAGAGCTAGAATGCTTGATATTTCCTGTGAGCAATGAAATTCATCTAGAAAAAAGAAATACCACCAATAATCTATAACGTTGAAATGTAGGACAATCGACAAAATAAATTGTTTTAATTATAATAAAACTTTAAGCATTTTGCGAATGTCAAAGTTTATTTGTGTATTAATACCCTAAAAAACATATTTTACAATATAACCCAAGTTCAATTTAGACTATCACTATGATCCAGAGCTATGGAAGAGGACAAGGGATTAATGTCAGAGTTAAATGTTCTACAGGTTATCAGGTTGCCAGGCAATACGTTAGCCTACTCGGTCTCCCTGCCCCGAAACTGAACAATCTTATTAGAATGGAACAATACAACTGTAACAAATAGATTTAATAAGATATTTACCTGAGGCCAGTAAAGCTTTGGCATGTAGAGGTCCCAAAGGAAATTCAGCCATTCTAAAGCCGAGAGGGTGTGTGAGATGACAATTTGAATCAATAGCACCAGCCGCATGAAGCAATTCCAGGGCAGCAAGCAGGTTTCTAGGTGGCGGAGGGCTAGGGAAATCAAACCGAGCTACATTTTCAACACCCAATGCTTTCAGCTGGAGTACAGCTCTACTCAACTCACAGCGTTCCATTTCACCACCGTTATCAGCAGGTAACTTTTCATATTCTGCTTCAGTATAGAGTCTTTCAAAAACAAGAAAAATAATTTATTAGGAACTTAATGTTATTTTATCGATACTATCTAAATAAAATTGCATGCAGAAAAAATAAATTCTAATGTAATAATAGAATTTAGATGTGACTATAATAAAAACAAAATCACTTTATTCACAGACATAGTTTAAGAAATTCATTGTGTTAATAGAAACATTCTCGAATTATTGGTCTAGCAAGAAGATAAAATCATAACAAGTTAATTCAACATGCATAGCTAATATCAATATAATTTTAAAATGATAATTTCAGCCATTTCAACTGCCCTTAATTTTAAAATGATAATTTCAGCCATTTCAACTGCCCTTCTAACCACTCTGCCCCACTTTGCAGAAAGTTGTTCTCAAGTATTGAAGACCTTCTTGGGCTCAAACAATTTTTAGTTTGTCAATAAGTAACATGTCAATATGTAATGACATCACACATGTCAGTATGTGATGTAATGACAGAGAGGATTGCAAAACAAAAATATATAAGTAATAAATATTTTAATTTCTTTCAACTAATATAAAAAAAATATGCAAATCAGTTAAACTTTTTTTAAAAAATTAGAACTTTGATATATATTTATATATTTTTTCTCTAACGCTTCTTGTCTTCCGCCATTAGTCTTCTAGTAGCTATGGGGCTGTTCTAGGCGACAGCTGTGATCATTTGGTTCTCTTATATAGATATCCAGGAAAAACATGAAAGCAACAGGATTGGATCACAAATCACTCTCTCTTCATCAGGATGGCTGGCAACCTTTTGCAGACATCTTCTCCTTTCTTTTTTTTTTTTACAGGATAGGGTTAATGGCCCTGTGTAAGACACAGGAGTCGCTCTCATTTTCTTGTGAATCTTAAGGTATAGAACTTGCGCCCTTGTGGTCTAAGTAATCAAGTAGGGACTGCATTTATTTATTTTAATTTAGTATTAATTATTTTTGTTTCATATTTTTTTTTTTTTAAATCCAATGAATGGGATTTAAACTTATAAAATTTTTGCAAGCGCCTTAACTAGCTCGACCACACACTGAATAAAGTCATATTCAGTAGTAATATAATAGAAAACTCTAGTTAATTTTCTTAAATGTAATATCTTTTTTCAACTATACAAAATTTAATCAAAATAATGTGTTTCATACTATTGAATATATATTTTTTAAATTTATTAATGAACAGGATAAATTCAAAATGAAAATGAGGTTATTCTTTCGTGTTATAATATAATACGAAGAGACACCTGCTTAATATTTAGATTTTATTTATTCATGATACCATTATTTCTCCATTTTGAAATTCAGTATGAATTCAATCAATAAATCTCAGAATAAAATACATTAAAAAAAAATCCACTAAGATAGTGAAAATGTAGTTATGAAGCAAACCTAAACAAATACCAATAGCTCTCTACAAGACTTCCTTAATGAGACAAAAATGGAACACAGGATCCTCTGAAGTGAGGGGCCAAGATCTTGAATTCATTAAGCCATGCACTTCTCACTAAAACAGTATACTATTACAGCTGCAAAACCCCCACATAACAGGCTATGATGGCCAATGTTTTGAGATGTTGCTCACTTTAACATTCTTAAGTCTAGCGGTGCTGGTTTGAATCCTGCCTCTGTGGGTTGGAATTTATTTCATGGAGAAAATATAGAATAAAGCTTGAGATTTCTACTCTGGTTAGAATAGGTTTGATAATACTTCTAAAATAAATCCTTTCTTCAACATATGCCAGATATGGTGAGGAAAGGGAGAGCCAGGAATGAAGGAACAAGTCAGGTTGCTCTGAGGAGGCAGCCTCTCCACTTGACTCAGGGGCAGATCTGATTGATCACCCACTCTTCAAAAGAACAATACAAAGAATAGGCCAAGGTCCACATCGAACTGCAGCGCCATAGAAAGTAAGTAAGTAAAGTAAAAACCTCTTCTAGAATGATGGAGGAGCTAAAAATTAGGTCAGTCACAAGATATTAAGGTTATAGTTACAAAAATTCTTGTATTTCTAAAATTTAGGTGAACAACAAACAAATCCACCAACGTCTCGCCAACTCAGGCATCATCAGGACAGAAAAAACAAAATCACATCACTCCAAGACATCCAGACAAATTTATTTATCACCCAACTGTCATTTGTAGATTTTTTACTCATTTACATTAATTACTTAGTAGTTTAATTTAATCTCTCCACTCTACAATTAATGGCTTTAAAATTAAAGGTGATATAAAAACAAAAATAAATATAATCTAGTAAGAACAAAGTGTAAGTGTTGTGAAGCAGTAAGATTTAATCGGTTTTCAACCAATTAATCAATGAAATAAAAAAAAAAAATTAAATATTTCCAGTTCTACATATATTTTAGTTATAATATTATATAAATGGATGTTAGCAGACATTCTTTGAGGAAGGTATAAGAAGACAATATTAAATTTATTCCATTTTTTATAAAAATTAAATTATGAATGCCAGCCATGGGTTAATGAGAGAACTTAGTTTAAGACTGAGCCTTAGCTGATTCAAAGCCTAACCTTCCCTTTATTCTTGGACTGAACAAGACCTCAGAATGCAGTAAGTAACAGAATATAAATTAAATTAGTTGAAAAATAGTTTAATTAAACGTTAAACAGGCACTAGTAATACAATTTTCAATTTATATTCCAGGGTAAGTTTGCTAAAAATAAATCAAAATCTACATATTGACCCTTGACTCAGCTATTAGTCTCGAGTACCTATATTTTCAGAAAAAATAAAAATGGCAGAAGCAATCAATTCACAGCAGTAAGCAAGCAATTAATTATGCATTAAATATTAAGGGATACTAATTTTTCAAAAAGGAATAGTTAATTAATATAGTCGGCAATTATCAGTCATTCTGAACCATTTGCTGTAAAAGAATATAGCTACTTAGTGTAATAGAATACCTATATACTTTGCCTGGTTTAACCCTACCAGCCCTGCCTGCTCTTTGTTCAGCCGCTGCTTGTGAAATTGGAACTATTACCAAACTATCTGTATGAGAATCAGCATTGAACCACCTCAGTTTCATAAAACCATTGTCCACAACTAAAAAATAGTTAAATATCATACATCAGCCCACCCGACTACATTTATAAGCATTAATTTAAAAATATAATCACATGCTTAATAAGTGCAAGCTTATAGTTTTTATTACATCTAAAATCAAAGTCGACTAAAAGTATATTAAAAAAATCATTCTTATTTTTCTAATTTATTTTAGTACCTAAAAAAATAAATAACACATCGTGCTATAAACGCTCATTATAAAAAATGAATTATAATGCACTCCACCTATTTTAATTTTTTGCTGAGCTATTATAACAGATTTTGGAGATCTATGCCCGTCTAATATGGTCCTTTTAAAGAAAATAACTTATCAAGCTCTATATTTAGTTCATGAATAATTAGATTTCTAAGCAAGATTAAATAAAGATAAGAAGTTAAGATTATTGTTAACCACTTGCTGCGTGGTTTTGATTTATACCAGACTTCAATGAATAGATTCTAGTTATTGCATACATAGCAGAATATATTTATGATTTTTGAAGGAGAAGGTTATTTGTATAGTTCAAGTGAAGATAGTTCAAGCTGTTCAGAGATCAACCCCTGAAATACAAAAAAAAAAAAAAAAAAAAAATTCTATACAGTCAGAACTTCACCACCATTTTGCTGCAAACCATTCCTATAGAGTTAATCTGTTCATTTGGTGAAGTGTGCATTCATTAAGGTACTCTCTTAAGAAATGGCAAGAAAAGACAATATGAGTTGCTAAACTTTAAGAGAACAGCATGGTGGAGGAGGTATGGGGAATAAAAAGAGGTGGCCAAAACCATGAAGCTGAATTTCAGACAGAAAGTGAGTCCAAATTGACAATCAAGCAATATGTAATTAATCTGTAAAGAACCATACTATTGTACAAAGGCACAAATTTCATTTATTTTATTTTATTCAATTATATGCAATATAACCATTTTCTCAATATTTTGTTTAATTTAATCAAGTATCTAATTTCAGTGATCCAATCTCATACAGTCCACACCAATTTTCACAATAACCAACGCACACAATTCACTTAAAGATCATTGGGTAAAATTTGGCTCCCACCAAATTACCCTGATCGAACACAAGCTATTCAGCCAAAATGTAGAATAATGAATATGCCTTCAAAAGAAGACTCCAAATTAGTAATCATTGAGAGATAAATTCTTCAAAGAATTTTCATAAAGCTGTAATCACTTAATGATGACTTACGAATCCTATATTACAACAAATATTTAACTTACAAACCATAAGCCAGAAATTGATTACAGAATGAATAGTAGTTCATGGACATAACATCGAAAACTCTAAAAGAAAATTAGAAATTTTTTTGGGTTATTAGACATCAATCAAAGTTTTAATTTTATTATTAAGGTTATTATATTTCATTTAAATGGAATTTGAACTAGAAAACATTAAAACATTTGGACAGTTTATTAAATTATTATAACAAAGAAGAAATATTTTAAGGAAAATTACATCTAAGAAAAAAAAAAAAAAAAACCTGTACCACTACAACCCATGAAGGGTCTGAGGTTCAGTACTATTTAGGGAGAGCACTGTTTTTAGGTCAACGGTTGTGCAAGGAGGTGATTTTACCGATATCACGCTCAACTGCCAGGTTTTCTCCCTTAATGAATTTTTAATTAAGGATACCCACTTCATATAGGCTGGGTGTGCCCCAGGAGGGTCTCCCAACCCAGGGTCGCCCCACGGCCAATGAAACAGATAAATAAATTTTCTGCCATGAGCCGGGGTTTGAACCCGGAACCTTTAGCATTGGAAGTTCAGTACCCTACAACTGAGCTACCCCACTCCCAAGAAAAACAAAATATAATACAAATATCATCAGCTTTTGGGTCAGATGATTTTTTTAAACATATTAAATATTTAAAAAAAATAGAATTTGAGTATTTGGAGGTTTAGATTAACGAATTGCCCTGTTACAGTATACTGAATGGCATAAGATGTCTCTACTACAAATTATTGTTATGCTAGAGAAAGAAAAAAATATGAAGAATAGGGGAATGCTCCAAACAAATATTACACTAATTTTTTGACCTAAGATTTTTCAAAGTTTGTTATTTATTTCACTTTAGTTAAGTTATAAATTCCTTAAGGAAAAAACTATGAATAAGGTGATCTTTAACTCATGAATTTGTGTTGTTGATTTATATTTTTCCAATTAATTAAATCAACTTTCAAACAGTTTAAACCAGCCTCTCAGCAATTAGGCCTTTTTAGACTATACAAGGTTTTTCCGGGCCAGAGGATGAGGGTGGGGAATTTAAAAGTCCCCAATGCACCGGGACGTAAACTCGTAATTTTATTGTCTCCAATTTTGGATATCAGGTTGCTAGGCAACGTGCGGTACTGTGCACACACATTAGCCCGTTCGGATACCCCGCCCCCTCCAACTTATGTAGCACCCAATGTACTGATATATGTGCTAATTTTAACATGCATGATATGATGGATTTTATCAGCATTTTACTGATCATGGGAACCCTCTCCATGAACCCTCTCCAGCAGCATCAGATGAGTACTGGAATGAAGGTTGTCGCTTTGTTGGACAGTATATTTTGGAAACACAAAAAAAATGGACAGTATATCAATTACAAAGTAACCATGAATGCACTGATGGATTCATGGAGAGAGAGGGGAGATGCTTTAGGAATGAATCCCTACCTTCAAGGAAAACATCAACATAGTTTTATATAGTTTTTGTTTTTTTCTTCCAGAATTTGCCTCTCATTTTTCCAGTTATAGAAGAAATAGAGGGGAAAAAAAAGAAAGAAATTCTCAATCCACTACTGCATAAATGAAGTGGTGATTGTTGAAATTTGAATAACATATTTAAAACAATCTTGATAGTCAAAGGCTAAGAAATTTATTTTGACACTATTGCTGAAGTACTTGTGACAGACAACGGCCAAGGTGCCCAATATTTGGACATCAAATTAATTGACATCCGTAATAATGACTATGATAATTAAAAAAAAAATATTTTATGCTATTCTGGTATGAAACCAAACATAAAATATATACAAATAATTAAATCTAAAAATATTTAACATCTTGCCATGAAAAAGGTTAAATCTAATCAGGTTAAGTTACTTTAATATCTTAGGAAGATAAATGAATAATAATATCATAAGATACCAAAACTATGAAGCAATTACTTTTTTTATTACATTAACTGAAACCCTCATAATATAATTTTTCTACTAAGGCAATCCACACCTCCTTACCTACATGTCTAAGATAAAATTTGATAATGAAATTAAAAATTTTAATTAAAATAATGAATTTACCATAAACAACGCCAGGAATAGTTACTGAAGTCTCTGCAATATTAGTAGCAATCACAGCTTTCCTCATTCCCTTTGGTGCATGCCGAAAAACTTTAATTTGTTCAGAATTGGGTAATGATCCATACATTGGCAGAACATATAATTTAACTAGAAAAAAAAAACATCAAAATTATTTTACTATAAGTAATCAATAATTACTATTTTGATGAAATTAATTTCTATGCATACAGTTTTACCAATATTTTCCATACTGTTAATATGGAATATGGAACATATCATCGGTTTATTGCAAAAATACATTAAGTAACATTTCATAACATTAGATCCCAAAGTAATATGATGAATTTTCTCTTCATGAAATCAGAATATTGTGCACTTCCAATGAATTACTTTTTTATGACAAAAATTTACTAGGCCAACTTTACAAGAAATGTCTAATGTTTTTTTTGTAATTTATTATAAACTTGCTAAATTGGTAAATTCACATAATACAATCAGTAATATGTTTTTCTTATTTTACGCAAAAACAAATCAATCGATACATAATAAAGAAATCCATGAAGAGCTAAAGGTAAATAATATTAATAAAAAAAAAATACTAATATTCTATAAAATATATTTTCTCAGCTCCTTGGGCACATTGGCAAGAACTCTCAGACATGGATCTAATATTTTTGATCTAGTATCACAAAAGAAAGCTTCATTGAAATCAGTGGCCCCATGCACATAATTTCCCTTTGTTAGTGACTTTTTGCATTAAATTCTCCTTACATTTTGTTAAATGCATGTTCCATACACATCAACATAGTGAAATAAAGAAATTAAGTATTTATTTGCTTCTCTTAGAGACAACATGAAACAAATAAATAGTATACAAATCACACATAATTGAGTATATGAATAGCAAAACTAACTCCATTTTTTCCAAACTCAAGATAACAATGGTGATTGATTTTTAAATGTGTTTACTGTCAGAAAAAAGGGCCTGAACTGATCATTTCCTTTATTTTTTATTTATAATAATCAATAGTTGTAACATAACTCTTTTTATCCAGCAACAGATGAACTGCAAAACTACAAACATTCCATGATGAAACTTGGTGTTAATGAAATCATGGTCATTGTTTTTTCCTTAACCCTCTGATATTCTTTAATGAATATTTATAAATACATGAACATATTACAAGATTATAAGCATTATCTTGTCATGTTTTATAAATCAAAAAGTAATGGAGAAAAAAAATGTTAGTTTCAACTTGGTGCCATATGAGTTCACCCTTGGACTGTCAACTAGCTGAGGTTAAAATATAGCTATTCAACATACCTTAGACCTGTTTTGTGACTATCATTTTATTTTAGGTGTGTCTGAGAGCTTTCTAAAATTTTTAGAATTGAAGATTTGTGTTAAAAATATTAGAAAAATGTAATCCCTCAAAAACAAATTAACAAAAAGAGAGGAGGGGAAGTGACTAGACCACAATAAAACATTTTTAAAACAAAAAATAAGTTTTTGTTGAAACACTCTATTCTCAACAACTTAAACACCAATTTTCACCTACAGGTACAACTAAATATATTCTAAGGAGAGTGGGAAGGCCAAGATTAATTCTGATGGTCCGCCACAAAATAAATTTTAACCTGCCCAGACTGGATTCAAACTAACGCCACCAGACTCAAAAATTTTAAAACAGCCAATGCCTTAACATGCTCGAACATCACACTATCCAATAAAACACTTACACTGTTCGAGAGGTTGCCCCATATCTTGTAAGAGAGATACAGCAGTGTCTACTTCATCTTGACCAGTAAGAAAACCTAAAATATCACCTAAAGGTTCACTGGTATGAATCTTCATAACTGTATCTACCAAACCTTTAACATAATCAGCTACAGGTTCTGAAAAAAAAAATCAGTAATATTAATTCAGGAATGCTGGATACCCTGATTATATTAAGATATAGAGCTCAAATATATGTTTCTAGACAAGAGGAATATCCAATTGTTGCCTTCCAATCTAATGAATTCCAAAATGTTGGTTAACAAAAAATAAAACATAATATAAGGTGTTTTAATTTAACATGATGAGAAGTACACTTTATTATTCACTTAAAATAATATACAAACATGGATTCACTTTATTCTTCAAGTTTTGAAAATAATATGGTGCCAAAAACACCAATTAGATTAACGAGTAAATTTATGCCAATTACATATATATATCTTAAGTTCAAATAAAATTCATTTTAGTACCCGGTTCAGGAAATAAAATTCTTTATTTCCGCACAAAACTTACAAAGAGATTTTAGACTTTTTAACTTTTTAGACTCAATTTACAAGTTCGTAGTATATAAATATATATATATATATATACATATACATATATATATATATATATATATATATATATATATATATATATATATATATATATATATATATATATATATATATAAATTAAAATTCAATAGAATAAAAAAGATTTTTTTAACTCACCTCTAACATAAAATTTTTCAACAGGATATAATCTACCTTCCACACTTAAGATGGTTGCAGTGTCTTTGTCGCCAACTCTAGTTGTGTTAAAATTGAAGAAATTTCGAAGATTTTCTGCATCAACTGTAGCTGAAGCAATGACTAATTTTAGATTTTTTTGTTTCTGAAACAAAATATTATTACTAATCATTGCATACTAAAGTAACTGAACGTAAACCATAAAAATAAATAAATCCTTATTCAGATAACCTGAATTAATTTTTAAAGGTGATTTGAGAAGTGATAATGCATATTATCAGTTTATAGCAAAATATCATTAAGTGACATTTATTTACCAGTCCTCTCGGGGAACATAATCAATGGATATTATCTCATTACTGTCATAAGCTTGAGTTATTCGGGATGAATAACCCTTATTTTTCCTGTAGTTAACTTTTTAATACATTCGAAGATTATATTGAATCCATTTATTATTACTAGTTATAAGCAAAAACAGCTAATTATTTTAAATAAATAAAATATAACATTCTTAAGTAGAAGAAATTTGGAAAATTCAGCATTTAAGCCCTATCAGACAATTTGATTTAGGTTAATACCTACCTGATATGAAAGATTATTTAATTCTAAAAATGTGTAAATTCAATGTCATAAAGTAAGAGGACACCTTTGGTTAGTTGATTTTGGTGAAAAAGTTGTTGTAACATAAACATATACCTAACTTAAATAAATAATTTCAGTTTTTTAGCACTTTTCGCTAGTCTTTTTACATACACACAGATACACAGACCATTTTGAGAAAATTAGTCTTTTGGACTCAGGAAATTTTCTGTATTTTCGTAGAAAACTCAGAGTCAAAATCAAAATACATTCCCTTACTATTTAAGTCACATATAGGTAAGCAAAAGTAAAAATGAGTTGCTAATTCAATTGAGTACTTCTCATACTCAATAAATTACACTAATTTTCCAATTTCATTTTAAATGTAAATCCCAATCAAAATTAAATAAAAATAATTTGTTTTACAGGATGCCCTTGGTAAAATGATATCTACAAATAAAATATAAAGAGGAGACTGAAAATATGATGGAAGTGAGAACTTCAGAAATTTTTCTTTACCCAAAATGTCATAGAAAGGACAGCGCCGGTTCTTTTTTCATCTTCATGTCTGCATGTCCTTACTTGCTATTACTTTATCAATGGTTTTGACTGGTAATGCATTGATTGTGTTGTTAGAAAAAATAAAATAAAAAGAGTTGTTATAAAATTTCATTTTTTACTTCTATGACAACAAAAAAATATTACCTTTAATATTTTTTTCAATAATCCCATCAATATATCAGTGTTGAGATTCCTTTCATGGACTTCATCTAGCATGATCACAGAGTACTTTCTCAACAAAGGGTCAGCCATCATCTCTCGCATCAACATCCCTTCAGTCATGTACTAAACAGGAAAAAGAATATTAATGAGTACACTCAATTAACGATTGCTAGTATATATACTAGCACTATATATATATATATATATATATATATATATATATATATATATATATATATATATATATATATATATATATATAATCTATTTCTCCCTAATATATTTGTAGGAGAAGGATCCCAAAGAAGGTATGTAGGCAGTAGGAGAGAAGTTTTGAAAAAAGCAAATTTGGAATGCTCCAAAGCGATTTTGATAACAAGTTAACAAATTTGGAACAGCAGCTAAATAACTAGGGCTTCAAATAAATGAGAAGAAGAATGTTTACATGCAAACTTCAAGAACGCTGAGTGGAACAGAGGAATGTGTCACCGTATGTAATTATACCCTGAAAGTGGTGGAAACTTTAAGTATTTAGGTATTCTAATAACAGAAAGTAATAATATGACGGAAGAACTGAAAGCAAGAAATGCTGCTGGGAATAGATGCTGTTTTGCCATGAAAAAAATTGCTAAATTATAACTCCCTCTCTCACAGGATAAAAAATCACACTATACGAGAAAGTCATAAGAGCCGTTGTCACCTACGTTTCTGAGACTTGAGTCATCTCTAAAGCCTCAGAAAGGAAGCTACTCGCATGGGAGAGAATGGTTCTCCACAGGGTCTATGGTCCGGTGTGTGAGAATGAGCAGCGGAGAAATTGCATCAATAAAGAGCTGCGTGAGATCTATGCAAGGCCAGATTTCATCTAAATTGTAACAAGTAACCAAATCAGATGGTTGGGCCATGTGGCACGTATGCTCAGGGATTCCATTCCCAAACGCTTGCTGGATGATCGTCCTGGTGGAAGACGTAGCAGAGGAAGTACAGTCTGAGATGGTTGGATGAGGTGGAGGACATTCTGAAAAGGATGGGAATCTGGAGATGGAGAATGCTCGCTCGAGATAGAGAAGAGTGGAAAAGAATAACAAGAGATGCCCTGGTTCTTGTAGGAAGTAGCGCCAAATAATAAATAAATAAATATTTGGGGAAATATGCTTATTTGCATAAATAATAAATTTAGATAAAGTCTGTTTAACACATAGTTTTGAGGTAATTTTCAACAAGGATGCGTTTTAAGTACAACACTTTTTGCGCTGGCAGTTAGTGACTTAGGAAAAAATCTTTCACGCGTTGTTAAATGCTCTTTCTCTACAATCTTGCTATTCTATACAAAGCGAAAGATGTCCTCTCTATAATAGATAAACTCCAAGAAGCACTGAATTGTATTGACGATTGGTCGAAATCATCGGGACTCTGTCTCTCTTCTGAAAAAACCTAATGTATTCAATACAGCAGAAAACAAAATACTCCACAATCGCCAGAACTTCTTTTAGGTGATGCCATCTCACCGTATGTCAACACTTGCAAATTCTTGGGATTATTATTTGATAAACGTCTATCCTGGGAACACCACATAAAATCACTCAAAGATACATGCACTATAGAAAACTTTGGCTATTGAGAGTACTTAGCGGAACTAATTGGGGAGCAGACAGAACTAACATGATTAAAGTATATGAAGCTCTGATTGGTGCAAAAATAGATTATGGGAGTTTTGTCTACAGTTCTGCCCGGAAAAATGGTCTAGCCATGCTCGAATCCGTGCACCACACTGGAATACGTCTTGCAACTGGAACCTTTAGAACAAGTCCAACCCTGAGCATCTGTGTCGAGCCTGGCCTAACAACACTGTACTTTAGAAGACAGAAACTAGCAATCAACTATATTACTAAGTTATACCCTTCCCATAAATATGTTTTATGACCTAAATTTTCAAAAAGATTTAAAGAAAAGCAGAATACCATATTATCATTGGCAAAAAGAATGTCTCTTATTATAAATAAATTAAAACAAATAAGATTAAATGAAATAGAAAAAGAAATACCCCCTTGGACCTATATACAACCAAAATTAATCTCCAACTCATCAAATATAGTACATTACCTGCAGATTATAAAGAAAAGTTTCACAAAATAATCATCACATTTCCTAAACATCTTCTAATATTCACCGACGGATGTAAATCAGATACATCTACTGCATTAACCTTTGTCACCCCTGATACTACCTACAAATATTAATTACATCATCTTTGTAGTGTTTACACAGCAGAGATTAACGCCATCGCAATGAGTCTCCGATACTTTATGAAGAAGCCAGTTGCAAATACGAATTATGGCTCCAATGTAGCCACTATCGTCTAGCATCCACATTACGATGTGAATTTCTCAGTCTCATCTTCGCAGCCATGGAGGATATTGTTTTCTGTGGGAAGAGTTCCTTCTTAGAGCTAGTTACAAGTGAAAGAACTCGAAAACATACACTTGGTGGATGCGCAAATTACTCACAGAAGGACCTAGATTTGGTAATGCACTATTAAATAAATTAAGACTGGAAGATGACATGGTGATCTTCAATTAGTTTCGAAAATTCTCATTAGACCACGTTTTCTAAAAAACTGTAAAACTTTGGAAAATAACTGTAATCAGACGAACCAATCACTCAGTAGCTGGATACAGGCTGGGACATGTCTGGCCTCTAGATGCCGAGTGACGTTCACACTGTCAAAATGTATGGCAATATGTCTAATATTGCATGCAACCTCCCATTCTGATCGGGAGACTTTAGATCTGTGATATTTGTCACGCAACAGACCTATAGATTGGTCTATAGACATGTCTATGTAGACAACCTGAGAGGCGTCTCAGAAACCAAAATTACACATGTCTACTAGTATGGACTAGGCTTAAGAAGTAGTCATTATATCATATTTTACTACAGTAAAACCTAATTAAATTTATAATTTAGCAGCTTAGAAATAAATAAAACTGAGACCTTTATCTTTGTTGTTTCTGGATCAGTACAATCATCAAAACGTATAGAATATCCAACAACATCTCCAAGGAGAGATCCTTTTTCCTCGGCTACTCTCGTGGCTAACGTTGTTGCTGCTACTCTTCTGGGTTCTGTTATACCAATTATTTTCCCTCCATCACACCATCCAGCTTCCAAAAGGTACTGAAAAGTCATAACGACTGTTTAAATATTTATTCATCAATTATGTATCATCTATTTAAAAAAGTAAATAATTTCCACAATAGCACAAAATAAAATATATTAATTTCTCTTTTTTATTGAATATTAATACATTATGCTACATTGAAGAGCATTAATATTAAGGCTACATTAGTCATTCACACAATATGTACATACAAATAATAACTAAGACAGAGATAATAAAGAAAAGTAAAATAAGTAAATTAATAAGCCTGTGTTACAAAAAATAAAATAGTAAATAAAAGCTAAATGAAATTAAAGTAAATAAAACACATTCACACCTACATACAATATTTACATTTGCCCAGGGGACTCTGAGTCATATTTTGTCCCCCAAATGTGGAAGCCAAGGCAGTACTCCAGGAGATCCCAGTGCTTCTCTCTCAGCCACATCACCGGTATTGGAAACCAGTGGAAACTGATGGAGGCCACTACAGTAACAGACACTCTGGACCTGAGTGGAGAATCTGACCACTGACAGTATAAATTTCTCTACATTTACAATGTTCTCAGGAATCATGATGGTCAACAGAATTTTAATAGGCATATTTCTTAAACAATAAAATAAGTTCAATCTTCCATCAGGAGTTATATAATTTTGCAATTACAAAATCTATATTATTTTTCAAAGAACAAATGGGCGTCAATTCTTAAGACTGAACAATTTCTTTTTGATATTTCTACATTTAAATATTTTTCTCTGAAAATAATTAAATATTTCAGAGGTAAGGCATAATTATAAATGCTATAAAAGTTAAGTCATACAAATAGGACGTGAACACAAGGAAGTGTAAACCATTTCTAAAGAAAATGCCCTAGAGACAGTAGAAAACTATTCTTGCCTAGTAAAAGTTATCAAGAGAAATGGAAAAATTTAACAAAATATACCAAAACGGGTAATAAAAAACTCAAATAATATAATTATCAAATTAGGAATGCTGACGTTAGGAAAGGTGAGGTTGAGAAAAAAGTAAAATAGCACATTTTTAATGCAATTTATTTTTCCACCATACTAGAATCACCACCTCAGAAATGTTATCTAAGAAGAGTTGCCAGCTGAACTCAGAAAGAACTTGTCAGATATAACAGAATAAAAGAGGAGGTATGGATGAAACCCTCAAATGAGATCTTAAAGAAAAACAATTAAAGAAGTTTAGGCATCATAAATGCAGAATGGATAAATATCGCGGACCACCACAGTTCTTCAAAACAATACCAACTGGCAAAAGTCCAAAGATGTTGTAGATGTAAGAGTCTTGGACACTTAGTATGTTTGAGTCATGGCACCTACACAATGAGAGGCACAGAAGAAGAAGAAAATGAGATCATAGAGGTCAGAAAAATCTGCGAATACATTATTCAGGGCAAAAAAAAAATAATGTTATAACAGTTGTATTTACCTGAGGAAGTTGAGTACTTTTGCCACAACCAGTTTCTCCAACCAAGACAAGAACTTGGTATTTCTTGATAAGATAAAGAATATGATTTCTATTTTTATAAATGGGTAACCTCACTCTTTGCTGTTCTAAGACTAAAGATAAATTGCTATTGAAGATGAATGTTGTATTTTTTTCAGTATCAACATCAGTTTTATCTTCCTGCCAACCCCCATCATCAGCTGAAATTATAATTTCAAAAATCATGATTGTAAAAACAAAACAAAATAAAAATAATATATTTTGAATTAATTTATTTGCCTAAAATTATAATAACTTTTAGTTGCTGCCTTCAGGTCAAAAAGACTCAAATTTCTCTTTAAATAAAAATATTTTATTTCTAAAACAAAATATTATTAAATCTTACATGAGTAATCTGCAATACTTTAACCACAATTAGGCGGAATCTCAAGGGTAAATTAATGCAGAATTAAGTCGAAACTAATATTTTATTTTATTTTTTCTTACCTTTTAATATTACTGATAAAATATTTACAAATATATCCATAGTATGGAATGGATACATACAGTAATAGTAATATATTACAAATAGTAATGTATGGATTTGTAAATATTAAGTAAATTTGGAGATCAAGATAAAAAACAATATATTTTTTCAACTTAGTCGATATGCTTACTGATGCAAAAATGCATCTCGTGAATGAAACGTTGAGCTATCACTTAATAAATATGATGAAGATTAAAGACTATGAAGAAAGAACATCACAGCTGTCATTTCCAAAGGATGTGTCCCTATTAATCTTATAACTTTATTTGGCTGGTAAGCGAAAATGTGTCATCTTGATATAACCAATATGAACTGGTTACGAAACAAGAATTTATGATATTCACTAGATAACATAGAAACCAAGTTCTCTTCCTGCAAAGTGTAAGCTGAATTTAAACCACAGTTTAACCATAAACAAAATGCAAACTTGATTGTTTCTACCTATCCCTTCTTCTTCCATGACTCTACAACCTGCGAGGAGTCATGGACACCTGAAGTAAGGTCTGCCATTTTTCTCAATTCCGAGCAGCCATTCTCCAATCCCAGATCCCCAGAATGTTGCATGCATCCTTATTCACGCCATCCACTCATCGCAGCCTGGGTGTCCACGCCTTCTGTGGTGTGAATTTCTTCTTTGAGGAGCCTCTTTGGTACTGAGTCGGCATTCATTCTGGCCACAAAACCAGCCCACTTGAGTCGGCCAACCCTGATGAAGCACACTACATTGCAGTCCTTGTATAACTCAGATATTTCGGTATTCGTCCTAATCTGCCAGTCTAGCTCATGGGCATCAAAAGTCGCTCTGAAAATTCTTCTTAATAACTTTCTTTCAAATCGGAGGAGTTGATTTGCCTGAGCTTTGGATAAAGTCCAGCATTCAGATCCATATGTAAGCACTGGCCTAATCAGGATTTTGTACAAATGCGATTTAGTTGTACGAGAAAATAATTTACTTTTCATAAGTTGCACTAGCCCGAAATAACATTTGTTAGCTGCAATGATTCTCCTTTGGATTTCCTTCCCTGTGTCGTTATCCTGAGTTATTAAGGAGCCAACGTATATAAATTTCTCGAATCTCTTAAATGAACATCCGTTCGGTAGTACATGAGAAGAGAGCATCACTTGTGCAATCGTCACCATGTATTTTGCTTTTGACTGGTTAACCTTAAGCAGCTGCAGCTTGTAAGTTCTCAAACACCTTGGCCATGGCTTTAAAATTTCTTCCAATGATGTCAATATCATCTGCATAGCCCAGTATTTGGGCTAAACAATTATTATTCTTTAACAATTATAGTTCTTCCCATTTGAATGCCTGACTCGCTTACCCCACTCTCCAGAGCAAAATTAAAGAAGAGGCACGCAAGACTATCCCCCTGCTGTAGACCTCGGTAAGTCTGGAACGAGTCCGAGAGCTCACTATCAATACGCACTGAGCATCACACCCCTCACAAGCTTGGGTGGAACTTCTATATCGAGCATAGCTTTGTAGAGTTCATTCCATATTACACTGTCGTCGGCAGCCTGAAAATCTATAAATAGGTGATGGGTTTGGATATGATAGTCTTTGGTTCGTTCGAGCATCAGCCTAAGGGAAAACATTTGGTCCGTTGTGCCCTTTCCTCTCATAATGCCAGCCTGATATTTGCCAATCTCTCTCTCTGCAGGGAGCAAAATTCTGGACAGCACCTTGTAAGCACTGGACAGCAGTGAGATACGTCGGTTATTTCTGCAATCCAGAATGATTGCAGCCCTTTCTTGTGAATTGGGCAGATGATGGTCTAGTACCAGTCCAAAGAAATTACCTCACTTATCCACACATCCATAATTATGTTGTGAACAGCTTTCACTGCCTCTTGCCCTCCATACCTAAAAAATTCTGATGTCAGCCCATCAGCTCCTAGTACCTTGTTTTTTAAGCATTTCATGGCTTCCTGAATCTCCTCAATATCTGGCGGTTCCAGGTCTCTGGCTGGTATTGTAACATCCTGTGTGGGCTGATCCTCAACTCCATCGTTCAGTATGCTCACAAAATGATTCCGCCGTCGCTCTAGAATACTCTGCTTTTCATTCTACCTATCCCTGGCAATGTTTAAATTTGGAGCTTAAGGGACCTCTCCCATCATTTAGCAGCAATCATTAACAATAATTTATTAACTCAGCCATTATCCATTCTAATGTTTTGATACATCAGCTGACAGTATCATAAAAAAATTGACATGATTGTTCTTGATTTTTGGAATCACTCAGTTCAGTGAATACTGTTTCATGTTTCAAGAACTAAAATTGTTCCTGCATTCTTGAGCAGTTACAATGAGCTGTACTATTCATTATAATCCACATGGTGTTTGTGATGTGAAATTAGTGGGGATCATTAAACTTGTCAATGTCAAAAAAAAGAGGATAAAACATTGAAATGCCCAGGCACAAATGATAGCAAAGTACTCAGTGGTTAAAATGTAAAAATGATATTAGCAAGTAACATCAAAATATAACATGTAAGGAGAGTCCTAATAATTAAACCCTATTAATATAGATGACTTTCAATAAACTGATTATAATACTATTTTTTAAGTCAATGTTTTGGTTTCATATTTGTAAAATAAACGATGGCAGGAGAAACCTGACATATGGAAGAAACTTCAACTTTTTAAATAGATAAAACTGAACTTCTGAAGCTTAGCAAACTTTTGATGGAAGATATTTTTAAAAGAGACAGGATCCTACTTACAAATATTCGGATTCTGTGAACATATGAACGTATGACAAAGAAGCTATCAAGATAAGAAAGTATTTTAAAACTGTCTTTTAAGATCATATCTAGTAAATAATACCCTGTCAAACCAGGTGTTAAAGGATAGGTGAGCCAATGGAACTATATTGCTTGAATTTCCTTCAGTTATCACTAGTGATTATACGTCACAGTATTAATAATTAAAAAATGTACTTATCAATAGCTTAATTTACTTACAAGGTTTCAAAAAACGAGGCCGGGTGTTCATTTTGGTATAGTGCAAAACATGAAAATTATAGAGGAAATGTTTTAATTTGAGTAAGAAATTATAAGACTAATCACGAAATAGCAAACATAATAGGGTATGCAAAATAGCTGATAAAATTATATGAGTTACAAATTTAAATAAGAAAATACGCAGCAGATAGAACAATTTCAAATCAACCTGAGATGTTCACTAAGGAATCGTTACAAAGAACACAGATACAAGTAGATTGGGCCTGTTAATAAATTTAGATTTAATAAGTAAATTAGATTCCATTAAAAGTATATATATATATATATATATATATATATATATATATATATATATATATATATATATATATATATATATATATATATTCTATAGCCTATTGACTATACATTTTAAAGAACTAATAATGATTTAAGTAATAATTTATTTCAAGTAATTAGTCATAGACGTTGTTATGAAAGCGACAGATTCATGTCAAATAATAATTTGCTATTTTATAACTTAACAGATTATGAATAAGACATATAAATTTACTTCTAGATATTCAAAATTTTCTAAATAGCAAGCACCCTGTAATTTTTTTTAATACTACTGATATAGGCGTAAAAAGGAGATAACACAGTGGTGAATACTAGAGACTTCGGCTCAATAGGAAATTAAGGTAAAGAGCTAATGTGATTTTTATTGAATATTAGTAAATGTTTACCATATTACTACAGGGGTTATTTTTTTATCTTGTCTTGGTGCATTTGATTTCCTTAGAAAAGAAATTAACTGCTAAGGATGTCAATTTTTAAATGTATTGGATGAATAACAAATTTTTTATCTTTTGTTCCAAAATTTTAATTAACTTTATTCCAAATCACATATATTTGAACTTTTCGGTGATCTATTATTTATATATTCCACCCTCCCATGCCACTATGGCAATAAGGGTGTTTGCGATAGTGTGTTATTAGGCATGAATGTTTAATAACACACTGCTAATAGTTAACATGATGTGCACACATCTAGCAGTTCTTCTGTTCTATCTTCTTCTTGTTTCGGCCTAGCTTCCAGAATCTGGAGGTCTTCCTGGCGCTTGTCCTCTTCTTCTGCGGGCACTAATACGAAGTGAGCGAGCACCACCGCCGTCTTCCATCCATATATGAAATCCTTAAACCGCGGAAAATTTTTCTCGCTGACTAAATGAAGAAAATCATTTTCAGTGAGGAAATAGATTCCTGCGGCTCTTATCATAGTCGCTCTTAACGTTTCAAATGGGGTGCAGGTCATGACCACTTGCTCTTCAGTTACCGGAACACTACAGATTGGGCATAGAGGATCTACATCGATGCCCAGACAGTGAAGTTTAGCTCGAAATCCTGCATGCCCAGTGAGGAACTGGGAAATCCAGTATTTCGGGAGGACTCATTTTTCCTGAAGTCTCCACTGTACTGTGGGAAAGTACTTCCTCAATGTACATCCTTTAGGGGTTGCTACCCAATGCCGGTTCCATGCTTCAATTGTATCCTCCCGGAGTATCTTCTTCCATCTATTAGGCGCTTCCATAATCCTCACTTATAGACTGTCCGAAAGTACTGTAGAGCCTTCCATCTTATAAGAATATTTCGTCACTTCTTCTAGTAGGAGGAGATCGAGAGGCACCACCCCCGCTAGGACCTGCACCGCTTCATGCGAAGGTGCCCTGTATGCTCTGGTGACCCGAAGCAGAGCTGCCCTCTGAGTCGAGGATAGCCTTTTTTTGTCATAGTGTGAGGTTACGGAACCAGAAGGGAGACGCATACCTCAGGATACCCTCCACAACACCTTTATATGTCGTGATTTTGACTGGATACCTAAGGCGCCAAAACGCGCCCTAGGTTTTGAGATTGCCACCTCACTTGGACGTATCCTCTGGTCTTCTATGTTCATTGTTATAGGGTTGCCCTGTCAGTCTTACCCTTGAGGAGAATGGCTTGAGTCTTGGAGCAGCCATCCTCATTTTCTTCCCCTATCACCACCTCGCAACCAGGCCAGCGCATCGCTCTGCTTCTGTCTTGACTCCAGCTCTGCTATTTGAGGCCGCCACAGCAGCTAGGTCATCAACATAGGCAGTAGTAGGGAACCGCTCTTCCTGTAACACTCCCAGAAATTCATCCAAGACAATCTTCCACAGAGCAGGGCCAAGACCTGATCCCTGAGGGCATCTCCTCTCTATAAAAGCTTCTACCTCATAGTGATTTCCTCTAATCTTGACAAGCCTGTCCTGGAGGTAGCTTCTTACAAGTGAATATAAAATGCTGGGAGCATCGTATCTCTGGAGCTGCTGCACGCTAGGCCATCATATACAGTCGAAGGCGGAAAATATATCAAAAAGTAATAACATAACATAACGTGCCGCCCTCACTTCAACAACTTGGCGCACCCTCAGCAGAGCATCACCAGTCCCTCTGTCTCTAGTTGAACCGTATTGCCGTGGATGGCTTGCTTTGTCGAAAACAGGGCGTAAGCTAGACATCATGAGGTTCTCAGGATCTTGCTCATCACAGGGAGGAGACATATAGATCTATATGAATTAGAGAGATGCTTATCTCTATCTCCTCTCTTGTAGAGGAGTCTCAAATCAGCAATCTTCCAGCTTCGTGGGAAGTATCCCGTATCCAGACACTCATTGAAAATCTTCAAATATGATCTTCAATATACGGAATACTGTTCCTTAAGATTGCCGCGTCAATAGCATCAAGACCTAGAAAACGATTAATTTTCTGCCTATCCACGGCAATACGAAAATCGTTAATGTCCAATGGTGGGCATAAATCTGATCCGGTCAAATACGCTGTGGTACGTCTCACAAAACCGCCATTTTCGCTATCATGGGCTGAATCATACCTGGGTTATATTGCTTCAATGAAAATACTGGCTGTCTATTCCAGGGTGGGTGCCTGAGTATCTTGATATGTCAAAGCTGCAATCGTCTGCAGTGGGGTCAGCTTACCCAATGCCACCCTGTGCGGAATACCCAGGGATTCTTCGAGGACTCTTCGACGAAGAAATCGTCTCAGGACTTCCGTTTTTTGTGAGCGAACGTCGTTTTGGTATATCCTGGTTTTAGATTTATACTCATTCCGAAGTGCAATGCGCTTCTCGTCACATCTGCACATCTGATATGACCGCCGGGCCTTGTAGAGGTCTCTCTTTAGAACAGTTAAGGCTGGCGTCCACCATGGAACCGGTCGAGCTCTCCCTTTTCGGTGCTTCAGGGAGTTTTCGGCAGCGTCTCGAGTGATATTGGTGATTCTAGATACCTTGTAATCCAGGCCATTAGCTACGTCCATTTCCACCACAGCCCATTTTTCATCTACAATTAATCCTTCTAGACAGCACCTGAAGACACTCCAGTCACTTATTTTTGTAATAAAACCTTTATCAATACCGTGAGAACATCCTGGCTTATTTACCAGGTCGATTGCTAGCGCAATGTGGTCGGAACTCGTTTCAGACCTGGGAGTCCAATTTGTGATGTACCTCATAATCACACGAAGTGATAATAACATCGTGACATCATTCTAACTCTGTCCCATGACCCCTGAAAGGTAGGTGTAGCAGAGGGTTCATTCATCACGACAAGGTGATTTCTTGCTATGAAATCTCCTATTTTCTCGCCTCGTCTATCAGTAATATTATTTCTTCCATCAGGTTGCTAGACATCGCTTTAACATGTTAGCTAGCTCGGCCATTTCGCTCCAACACTATCAGCTACTAGTGCTTTTACTCTATTTGTTTCTGCGAATTTGATGTCTTAGCATAGGCTCAGACTTCGGAAGTGCGAGAGGAACGATCGTCCCCCCTCCAAAACAAATAGAGTGGAGAAGAGAATATCGTTTCGTCCTTTCTCCAATATTTCTAGGAACAAAAAGAATTGAAATTCTCCCCTCCTGAATCAGAATTGAAAATCTGTACCTATGCACATTCTTCTTCATTAACAGTCTTGATTTTAACGACATCGGTTCGGATCCGGCTGGGCGGGTTTTTATTTATTTCATGCAGACCCAGGACATGAATCTCGACCTTCCCACCAGGGTTGGAATAGGATTTTTTGTACCTCTAGATATCACAGAACATTTATTTATACACTTACAGGCAAAAAATTCCACCCACTTGATTTTTTCATGTTTTCATCTAAAACTATTTCTGCTTTGGATTGGTCTATTCTTTTTAATGAATAAATAGGTAATCTTTTTGTTTGTTTTTAATTAGGAATGTAAATATAGAGGACAATAACCCTTATTCCTTAATTCAATGAAATGATTCTAGATTCCAATGTTTACTTTCTATGAAATCAAAATGATTATTCAGTATCATTAGTTCAGTGCCGTTTCTTGCAGCACATTTCTTAGTCTCCTAATCGCTTTTAATTTTTTCAATATTAAGTTTAAAAATGCCTCTTAGTGTTGAGGATGTTGCGCGTGGTGTGCCACTTATTGATGGACGTTCCATTAGATATGCAGCTAATGCCATCGGAGTTCCATATGAAACTTTACGAGACGCCGTCAGGCGATTTCGGAAAACTGGTTCTGATTCGATTCGGAACAATAGAAGGCCCGATTCCGGACGGCCTAGGGTAACAGAACCACGGGATGACCGGTTTTTGACTTTGAGAATTTTACGAAACCGGCACCTTACCGTTGTTTAAGCGAAATTTCTGAACGTACCGCTCGGAGAAGATTAAATGAGTATGGATTAATGGCTTTTCGTCCAGTAAGAAGACCAGAGTTGACCAGAACTCACAGAGTAACGGCTGGCTTTTGCTGGAGAACACAGCCATTGGACTATGGACGAATGGAGTGCTGTACTTTTTACAGATAAATCAAGATTCACTCTTCGATCTGCAGACGGGCGTGAAAGGGTGTGGAGAAGAAGAATCGAAAGATATGCAGCCTGTAAATTTCCCCAGAGCCAACCTTTCCAACGTGGTTCCTTAATGGTGTGGGCTGGGATTTCAATGGAGCGCCGCACAGAATTGATTGTTGTTCGTGGAGGGTCTTTGACGGCCATTCATTATGTAGATGAGATTTTGGAACCTCATGTGTTGCCTATTCTCAACTAAATCGGCGATCGTTCTATTCTAATGCACGATAATGCATGCCCACATGTCGCCCGCATAGTGCAGACGTTCCTTCAACAGAACAATATTGAGGTTTTAGCCTGTGCAGCACGTTCTCCAGATTTGAACCCCATTGAGCATTTATGGGATAACCTCGGAAGACGAAAAGAGCTTTCTGATACACTGCAGGAACTTGAAAGGGCTCTTCGGGAGTAATGGGCCATCCTCCAGCAAAGGGACATTTCCCGACTGATGGAAAGTATGCCGAGGCGTCTTCAAGAAGTAGTGAAGGTAAGAGGAGGAAACACGCACTACTAAACGATGATGTAATTAATTTCTTTTATAATAATAATGGTTCGTTTTGGAATCTAGAATCATATCATTAAATTAAGGATTAAGGGTTATAATCCTCTATATTAACATTCCTAATTGAAAACCAACAAAAAGATTACCTATTTATTTATTAAAAACAATAGACCAATCCAAAGCAGAGATGTTTTTAGATGAAAACATGAAACAATCAAGTGGGTGAAATTTTTTGCCTGTCAGTGTATTTAATTCATAAAAAACAGTAGTCCAGTATTTATTTTTTGTGTTGAATAGGTTATTTCGGAGCACTGTGCGATTTGTAGCGCGATGTTTATTTATTTCTTTAATTTAAAAAAGTTTATATTATACAGAAAGCAAAATTAAAACAAATTCTATATAAATTATTCATCAATGGTGGAAACTAAAACCTATCTACACAGCAGAACCAACACCATCATTCAACTTCGGATTATCTCAATCAGACCCCCACCTTTTCTTTACCTTTAATATTACTTCATCGTTTTTCTGTTCTTAAAGGAAGATATTAAACTCTGAACCTAAACCTCTTAAATATTAATCTTTCAAAGCGAAGAAACAAAAAACACCGCGGGGCTTTACTAAAAATATTCGAGAAAATAAATAAGGCTTGACAAGTGAAGAATTAGTTTAGGGACCTCTAATAAAGTCCTGTTGTAACATTTTTGGCGTTCTGTGTTTAAGGAATATTAAAGAATTGAATCGAGGGGGCTGTCATCTGAAATTATATTAATCTTCTTAGGGATTCAAAAGGCGTTTGATGTTCAGCTATATAGAGCATCCGCTTTGGAGAAGGAAGCCAGTCATCCCCAACTCCTCGGACTTCAATGGTAAGACTAGCATTTTGTAAAGAAATATTAACATTTCTAACAATATATATTTATTTCAACCTTCAGCAAAATATGTTTGTTTAAAATTTAAGGATTAGTAAAAGCTTGATAAACGTGAATAAAAAGTAAATATTTTTACTTAACTCAGCCTATTTTTTAAGACATTATTTAAATCTGTCTGTTTAGTGGAATTTATATTCTTTTGAGTTGCATATCAGCAATAAACTATCGGTAGGAGAATTTTAGGCATTCAGCATAAAAACCAACTTCATTTATTAGACAGAAACAAAAGTAAGAAAATATCAAAAATCTTTATGAATCTAAGTTAATAAAATCTGTGTTGATTAGCTTAATTCATAACCCTCAAATTCTATATCAGTATTTTCAAAATATCTGTCTTAAGCATTTTTTTTAGCATTACTCATTATGAGAAATGTCTTAACATAGACTGTGTTTTATATGTTTTTATGAATTAAATAATTGTTTATCTTTTATTTTGAAAATAAAATTTACTCTAATGAATCATACATTAAATCTCATTCCATTAAGAATTATATTTGTAATTTGAGATTATTAGGTTTTTTTTTATTATACATAATTTTTATAGAAAATTCCTGAAGGATACATAGTGTTAATATTTTCACTCGATTCTAACAGGAAAAAAATATTAAAAATGAGGACTAAGGAAAAAAAAAATTGTAGTTTTTAGATATGCAGAAAATGGCCACAGGACTCCTCATCACTTGGTGCTTATGCCTGCTCCTCACAGCAGATTGCAGAAGTTATAGGGGAAGAGAGGTTGAAGATGAGACAGATCTTGAGTTGGCCAAAAGACAGTTCAATGACTATGGGCACATGAGGTAATTTGTTTTTCCCATATTCTTTTACAGAATATACTTTCTAAAATTCCAAAATATTATAAATGTTCATTGATTAAGCTGAAAAATGATAAGAAAGTCTTTGTAATTCATTCAGTATTATAAAGTTATAATAATTAATCATGTATTTATTATAATTATCATCCATATTTATGATCGATTAAAAAAATATATATTCAGGGATATATTTTATTGTAATTGGTTAATTGGTTCATGATTATTCTTTATGTTTAAAGATAACTTATTATATATTTATTTAATCTCTGATAGTTTGCATCTTGTTTAATAGGTTTGGTAAACGTGGTGGAGTTACTGAAGACAAGTTTGAGGACTATGGTTACATGCGCTTTGGAAGAAGGCAACCCTGATTCCTGATGATGAATTATAAATTTAATAAGCAGTGATGTTTATATTGATAGACTGAATAAAGTTTAGTTACTAATAGATCGAATATATATTTTTTTTACCTCTTTTGTAAAATGCTAATTTTTGAGATTTTGGAGAAAAAACTCAGCTCAAATTTGTGGTATGAAATGTTAATGTGATAATTTATTTTGTTTTCTACTTTATTTCTGAGAGAGGTCTGAAGCAGGATGTTATTTTGTGGTCTGCCTGCTGTTAAACTTAGGCCTTGAAAAGGCTGTGTGTGACTTGGGGATTGAAATGAATGGAACAATTTTTAACTAATCTATTCCAGCTCTTAAGTTTAGCAGATGACCTGGATATAATGAATAGTTCTTATAGTATAGGGACCAATGACATATTTATTCAACAGACAAGTGTAAAGTTATTCTTAAATTATGACTCTATAAAAAAATATAAAACTAGGATCACCAAGTCTAGCTGTCCAATCTAGGTGTATTTTGGGTGAAATTTAGATTTAAGTTAGTCAGATTTTGAGGTTCCATAAAACAGAAAGATAAAAACCTGCAATTTTCAAAAACGTTACACCCTGTAAAGTAATAGTGGGAATTGACATAATCTGCTTTCAAAACTGACAGACTCTAATGTCTCAAATCTTCATTCAACCAACCAGTAAACAGCTGGTATTCTTCCAAAGTATTCAGCTTGGCAAGGAGAGTATAAATTTTAAATCTTATGCCAAAAAAAAAAAAATTGGTTGGATCCATTTAATTGTATTTGAAACACAATTGAATCAATTCAACCATATTGAGATCTTTTAAAAATACAATTATTTGAAATAATGCTGATTAGAACTAACCAGCAATTTGAATGCATTTTCAAAACTAATGATTTTATTAATTGATTATTTTTATCTGAATATGATTATTTTAATGTGGACACTTAATCTTGTCTATCTAATTAATATGAATCCTAAATGTTGTGCTTAAAGGAAGGCTAAAATGGGTTGCTCATATAGCTTATATAATCCGTATTGTTTTGGTATAACAATACCATGTAAGAGTAATGGGATGGAATCAGAAAACATGGAAAATCATGAATAGTGGATTTTGGTTTTGATTAGGTTTACTTAAAGAATAAAGTATTGAATAAAGTTTATGCTCCTGACCAAATATAACCTGAAAATATATAAATATATATTGTAATTTTTATAAACAACATTAGAAAACTTAATGTTGAATTTTTTCATCAGTTAAAATACTTCTAATGGAGATGATGGGGATGACCCACACTTCAGTGTCAGCAAAATTCAGCTTTTATTTTATTTAATTATAAATGTCAATAAATTGTAGTAGTATTGATATTAAATCTCATACCTATACAAGACCCAAATCATTAGGCCTCAGATAATAAATAATGTTTACATTTGATTAAAATATCACTATGTTTTTTAAATACAGCATTTTTATATTTTCTTGAAAGGTAGTTGTAAATAGTGACAAAGGAATAACAAATCAATTAAATGTTTTCCAAATTTTATTTACAGCGTTAATTTCACAAGGTGAACTAGTTTTTCTTACTCTCTAGTACCTCAAAAATAAAGATATCCTAAAATATCAACTACTTCTATGGTAAATTCAGGTAAATTGTACTTGGATAAATCATATACTCTCTTAGTACTTTTATATATAAATATACTTAGTTAAGTATGAGTGTAATTAATTGATTACTCTGAGCAAAGTGTTACTGGCTATGATATATATATATATATATTTATATATAAACCATACAATGAATGAGCAGAAACAATCCAACATATAACTGAAAACATTTACAGCAAAATATTTAAATGTAAAAATAACTTTAAAGAGAAATAATATTTCAAAAAGTATATACTGGGAGAATATAATTCAAATAGCATAATGTATTTTAAATAAATATCTTATTTGTAGTGTAACAATTTAATAATTAATTTTCCCTCAACTGACAAAATAATTGAATGAATATTTCTTTGATAATAATTATGAACCAAATTAAAGACCACCATCTTAAAAACCATTTCCAAATTGAAATATTTTGCATAACTCAAAATTACAAAATGATATTTATTTTTAAGAATACTACATTTATTAAAATATTAGTTATTTTAAACACAATGCAATCTTGACAGACGCAATATACTACAACTATGTACATGATTATCTAAAATTAAAAATATATTTATATAATAATATCTACATTAAATTATTAATCATCTAAATTCTTTTAACATACTTACAGAAGAAAGTGATGCAGCACTCATAAGTTATTTGGAAGAATACACACCTCAGTTAATTTTTAAAAAAACATATTACAATTCATTGAAATAATTTACTGTTTTTGAATAGGTTTGGAATGAATTAATGTTATATGCCTGATATGTTTATTAATAAAATAGCCATGATTTCTTTATCTATATAAAGTAAATTATGATTAGTCCATGATGATTATCACTGAAGTTTTTTACCTAATAAAAAAAAATTAATATTTTTAGAGACAAGTGCAACTTAATTTCTTACACCGCCTCATTTTGAGTGAAAATTTTGCAATAATAATTTTGCAAATTATTAGTATGACTTGCGAAATAAAATTACTATTACGTAAGAGAAAATATACATAAATAGTACAACACATAAATAGTTCTGCATACTTAGTTGCATTTTTCTCAAAAACTTAGAGAAAGTTGAGTTAGTCCATTTTACTACAGATATCTAAACTATGTGAATATATTTATATAGTTGTTTGATATTTATATTTTAGACAAAACTTAAGCTTAATGGATTCTCTCTTTCCTCAAAGGCACAATATTATACCTCACTTACAAGAGTAAAGGTATAACTCATTTTTTCTTTAACTATTTTTCAAATAGCTCCCACAATCAAGCTCCTCTATCTCTTCATTTTCATAACAATACAATTCCAAAACTATAACACTTTGTGACAGAACATAACTATAAACAATATCAAAATAAAAATAATACAATCAATAAAGTTTTTATAAATATTTATTTATAAATATACACAACACTTAGTAAAACTAATTAAACAACAAATAAATTAGACTCATAAAAGCAAAACCATTCAATTCAGGTTTCAAAAAAAAAAAAATATATATATCAGTGTAATTATAAAGTAAATTAGTAAAAAATACAATTAATTATTATTAAAGCATTAGACAAGAGAATATTACTTCACATGTAAATCATCTTCGATCGATTCGTTTCGAAGTTGTACCTTACTTTTTAAGCTCACTTGTGTGAACAATGACCAAAATTAATTTATTTACTTTTCCTTTTACAACATATGGATAGAAAGAGAAAAAAAAAACAGATACATAAATATGCTATTAATGATTTGACCATTTGAGGTATGAATATATATATATATATCTAGCAATTTAAACAATGTTGCTTTTGTTTTGACTGGAGAGCATGAGCTTGGCAACAAAGTTTACAATGGCAGTAGCAGGCTGTTCAGCTTCTAGTTCACAGAATATATGGCACTCATTATCAGCTTTTGACCCTGGTTTTCTTGCTACAAAACCAAAGCAATGCCTGGAAATAAATAATAAATAAATAAATATAAATAATCAGAAACCAGTAAGCATTAATTAGTCAACCCTCTAATGTACACAACCGATATAAGAGATAAACATAACTTTATTTCTATCCTATTAGATTAATAATTTAAATACTTTCTTTTCTTGGTACAAGGAATCAATGGGAACAATGATTCTATTAGTCATGTTTTCTTATAATCCAGGGAGCTGGCATGAGGAGAGCTGCTGTGCCTTTAGCACATTTTTTAACAGTTATAGTTTTATCGAAACACGTTCAAACGTTTTTATCAATTTTTTTATATTAAAGTACAATTTAGTAGTTTTTAATATCAGAAAGGTCTTATTCACATTGAAATAGCCTGACAGAGCTTCAATAGAGAATTTTCAAAATGACTTCCTCTAAAACACCTTTAATTTGGTTTATCTGAAATAATTAGCAGTCTTTCATTGCTATTACTAATACGAAATGGCTACATATAAGCTGTGAAAGATTTTGTTAATTAACAACATTATGGATATATTATATTTCTGACTTCCTAATTACAACATTTTTATCTAAATGATAAGCACTGACTACAACGTTTCATAATGCTTAAAACTTAAAATATTTAGCCTATATTTGAAATATTGTGGCAAAAACAACATAAATATAAGAATAAATCCATAAAAACCACCATATAATTAAAAAAAAAGATAAATAGTGTTAACCAATACTAACAAAGTTGGTTTATCATCTGAATGTCGCCACCGCCTGTCTTCTGGATCAAGGCCACAGTAAGTGATTGTTGCCATAGGATAATGCCGCCTAAAGAACAACACTCTTCCATGATCTGTTAAGGTGATTCCTTGGGATGAAACTTTGAAATTAACTTCAACGGCCTTGGGTAGAGGTGAAGAAGAAAATAACCTCCCAACTGAGCGAGATACGGCTCGAGGCCCAGTCAGGGATTCTGTTTCAACTGTGAGTAGATAAAGCACACTGCATGCTGAAATAGAAAGAAATTGCTTGTTAAAATTATTTAATTATCTTTAACTAATAAGAAAAAAACAAAAAATTCAAATGCTTCACAGTTTAGAACTGGGACTAAGAAACAGTAAGATATGTACTAATTTATAGGACAATAAATGTACTAATAATGAAGTAATATAGGTTGAAAAGTTTTAATAAAACATACAGAGAGATAGCATAACTCAATATTAATATTTATATGTATTGAATAGTAAATAAATTAAAAGAAATACTGGAATGGAATTAGTGAAACCAATATGAATTTAACTGTATATATGAACATTATATACAGGTATAAATTTTAGATAAGTGATGATACACGTAACAAACCATAACAGTAATATAATAATATTAAATAACAAATTTGATAATTATACTCTAAGATTACATATTTTATTTATAATAGGTACAATATATACCCATCCAAGGGAGAAATGAGTTTGGATTTCTAATATAACTACTTAAAAGTTTTTAAAGGATTAATCAGTTTTTAATTTAAATATCATTGGTTACATGAAACCATGTAAATAGAAAATATTTTGATCTTTCTTTAAATTATTTTATTTATACATAAATTTTACAAAGAACAATTAGTTGTTAATTATTGGTATTTTAGGCAAAGTAATTAATTACCTAATTCAATAAAGCTATAAGCTTCTTCACCATCAATTTAACTTTCTACACATACAATGTTTCAGCTAACAAGCCAACTGACCATACTTAAAGCATTTTGTGTGATAGAGAAGAAACAAGAAAAATTATAAAATCAAAAACTATTGTAGCTAAAGCATTTCAAGAACTGAATTAATATAGTATAGATTCATGATGACATTATGGAGTATATACAAGTGATAAGATGTTATTAAGTATTGCATTAAAGGGTGCAATACTTATTGTTAATACTTATTGTTATTACTTATTAATAAGTATTGCATTAAAGGGTGCATAAGATCTTATTGAGTAATATATTAAAGGATTTGTACAGGTGATAAGATGTTATTAAGTTTTGATGTATTTAAACAAATTAAATAGGTTAAATATAGATCTTACCTGAGGATGGCTTGTTATATGAAATATATCATTAATATCATTTATAATAATCATTAATAAATTAAATTGTTGGTGAAGCTACTTACAGTCTAATTTTTACTTTCACTTACCTATATATAAAATATAAAAGGGTAAGTATTGCGATCGTGAAAATTTTCGAATCAGAGTTTTCAATGGAAATACATGTTTTGACGTCTCCTGAGTCCAAATAACCAAATCCCGAAAAATTGTCTGTGTTTGTTATGTCTGTATGTGTGTATGCCTGTGTGTGTGTGTGTGTGTGTTAGCAGTCTAGCTCAAAAACAAAAAGTCGTACGAAACTGATATTACTTATTTAAGATAGGTATGTTCCTTAGATATGACAGCAACTTTTTCGTTAAAATTAGCTATCCAGAAGTGCCACTTTATATCAACGCTGAAACACATTTTTACAATTTTCTCAATTCTGACTAACGAATTTGATTAAATTGGGTGTACCATTGTATAATTAAGTGGTCTTTAATATCATTTAGGTCTTATCCCCATTAATGTTACTTTACAGGGCTTAATGTTCATATGCCTCTTCCTCTAAAGTACCTTTAATATGGTATATTTTTAATAATTAACTATCATTAAGTCAATCATTAATTATCTTATCATTAAGAGTTATGAAAAAATGCTAAATATAACTTTTGAAAGAATTTGATAATGGAATAACGGAGAAAAAAATAATCCAGGTTATCCAGGTCGAAAATGAATCTCTAGAAATACTAGTCAGAAGGTATAGGTATAATATATCGTTGGGAAGTGGAGAATTTTAGAAAAAACAAGATCAAATATGGAAAGTTGTAGAAGTTAATGGAAAGTAGCAAAAAAAATTATGAATAATAATTTTTGAAAACTAATAATATTTAACGTAAATCACATATTTCCAAGGAAATCAAATGAAATTTACTAACTAAATGTAAACTTTTAAAATATTTTGAGGTTTGAAAAAAGTATTTAAAATCCACCTAATCAAGGCAATGACATTGATTAAAAAACTATTTCATTGTACTTGTGTGAAAGAAGAAGTAAAATATAAAATCATTTCATGGATGTATAAGTCATATGTTTATAATCTTAAATAAGTTTACTGCAGTTTAATAATTCTAGATCTGATATTGTAATTAAATAATTAGGTATCAATGTCTGTTTATTCCGAAATATTGTCATGTAACTTTTTAGAAAATTAGAATCGAATGTAAAATTAGTGAATAATTCGATGAATATTCCCTTTGTGATATTCCAACAGTATCCACTACTATTTCATTGTACTTGTGTGAAAGAAGAAGTGAAATATAAAAATATTTTATAGATACATTTATAACCTTAAATATATTTACTGTAGTTAAATAACTCTAGATCTGATATTATATTTAAATATTTAGGTATCTATTGTTCATTTATTCCGAAAAATCATCATTTAACCTTTTAGAAAATTAAATTAGTGAATAGTTTGATGAAACTATCTTTTGTGATATTCCAACAGTATCCACTTACAATTAGTGTGACAACTTTTGACCTTTCTATGACAGACAATGTAAATCTCTTAATTCCGTTTTAGTAAACTTTAATGGAAAATAACAGTTTAATAACTAATAGCCGTACAATCCGTAATCAACTGGTGATATAATAAATAGTACTTTTGTTATTTTAATAATATTTATGATTTGTTAGCTGTATTTTATCAGCTTTAGCTCAGTTAAAAATGCAATTCAAAAATTTTATTACAGCCCAACATGGCCAGAAAATAATTTCTATGCAATGTTGAACGGTAAGTGAAAGTTGTGTGTTGCACGCACCAGATTTTTTAAATTAATTTTTAATTTTTAATAATCAGTAATTCATCAATTACTTTCTGATTAAAAAATTCATCTCTCAATTTGTTAACATTTTTTTTTTTGTCCTAATGAAAAGATGGAATTTGTCAGTTATGTGATATCACATTCAGAATGACAATATTACTTTAAAATTTATATCAATATAAAATAAATATACTAAAAATATCTCAACCTCGCAGATTTATGTTAGATTTCATGACATTTCCATATTAAGATTTATAATTAGTCTTATTTAAAATCCTACCTGCTCCTTGTGTCTGTAAAATTTGAGCTGATGTGGTGACCCTGGGAGCAGCTGGATCTGAGTCTGGAAGTACTAATAGACAAGGTAAAGCTAAAGAAGTCACAGTATGCTGATATACCAGAGCTGACAGGGAACCTAAACATAAATATTATTCAAAATAAATAACATAAATTTTAATCACATTGAGTTAGAAGAAATTTCATTTTTTTTTTTTTTTAAATGTATTATTATCTACAATCAGACTTCAATTAGAAAGATATAAATTTACTGCTACACTATCCCACCCTGTAAAAGTTATTAAGATTTTTTTTAAAGAAAGAGTATTCTTTTACAGAGCTTAAATTTACCTAAATTTAATGTTTTCCAAAGAAGAATTCAATATTATGGACTATTTAAAAATCAGAAGAAATTCTGAATTTAATTCATCTCATATATAATCTTAAACAAAAATTTTGTATAATTCTTCATAATATAATTCAAAGGTATATATTTGTAATATATTCTTAAACAGCACACTTACTAAAAACTGGTTCATTAGGACATCCTCTGAACCTTACACCTCGAGACGTGGGCTCAATAAGGAAATGCCTAACAAGGTCTTCAGGCGTCGGTGGGGATCTAGTTGCTGCTGGTGGTGATGCTACTTTCAGAGCTAAGCCAAATGCCCCAGGGAATGAATTTGAATCACGAACAACAAATGTTCCTGGAGCCTTGTCCCTCAGCATTCCAATAGCTAAATAAAATGAAAAACAGTGAAATCAATTCACAAGGTTTGATTAACAGCTCTTATCAGAAGTAGCTGTTATTGATGAGGAGTTAATTTTTTTTTTAATAGAAACCAAAAAATATAGCATATTAAAAATGATTGCCATAATTTTGAGATAAGAATATTTAGAGATAATAACAAAAATTATAAAAAATATACCTTCTTCTCGTGATATGTTAGGCTTGTACCAAAATTTGCTGGTCCCTCTAACAAATTTTACATGAGCTGGGCTGACTTCCTGGGGTGATTCTGATCGTAATGAGCCTCGTCTACCGCTCCCATAATAAGGTGAACCTCCATACTGGCCTAGACTACCATTCGTCACCGGGCTCTAAACATAGAAATGATTTTATACATATGAAAAAAATAAAGTCAAAATATTATTGTTTAAGAAAGTTTACCTTTGGACTGTACTGCTCCGAAGAACTGTCGTAGCCTCTTGAACTATTCATCGAGAGTTCTCTGCTCAGCGTGCCTTCACCCCATTCTTTCCTGTCAATATAAACCATTATTAGTTAATTCATTAAGAATGTTGGAAAATGGAACATTTCTTGGATGATTTGTAAAAAATTGCAGTTTGATAAAACTATGTAATTAATTTCGATTGATTATTTTTAAATTTTAATGATTAGCATTTTAAGAGTATAAATCATTATATTATCATCATTATTATACTATTATCATTGTGATATAAATTCAAAACTTTAAGCCAGTAATTTGGAAAAACAAATTATATTGTATAAATTAATTATACATACATACATTCCATTATAAATCATAATTATTGCATTACATTTTCAGGGTTCTAACATTACTCAAAATAAAATAATATAGTAGGGTTACAAAGGTACCTTTAAGGACAAATATTAATAATATGGTTCCAAGCTTTCAAATTTATTTGTTGAAACATAATAGTACTGGAATTCATAGTTATACTACAAAATCTAATTTTCAATATCATAACATAAATATAAGGACCATTTGACCAATTGATATGAATTCATATCTGATGGAGAGTGTGGCGTTTAGGTAGAAATTTTGTATACTGACTGATATCAAAGGGGACTAGGCAATTTCAATTTTTAGTTAAATTATTTATTTTTAAGAGTTCAATTTGTTGTAAGGGTTAAGCTTAAATTCAAATCATCAAATTCTATTTCTCTCACATGTCCTCTAACATGAATAGGCAAAATTGATGGTGAATAAGTATTCTATTTCTGTAATTATTGACATGCTTTTCTTTACTGGTGGATCTGGTAATCTGAGAACTCATGAGATATTGAGTTTTAAGGAAAAACAAATCTTTAAACAATGAGTAATAATAATAATAATAATAATGCTAGGACAGATTCCTTTAGAATAATGTACACAGATATAAATGTGGGCTTAGGAGCCTCAGGGATATATAAGAAAACATTAAAAAATAGACATAATAATAATATATATATTTATATATATATATATATATATATATATATATATATATATATATATATATATACATATATATATATATATATATATATATAAAGGACACCTTATAGCTTTGATCATTTAAGAAAAAAAAATGAAAGAAACATAAAATAAAAATGGAGTTTTAATTTATATAAATATTTACAGAAACATCTATTTACAATTTTATGGGGACTATTAATAGTATCAGTGACTATTAATCATTTTTCCTCAATTCTTTCCTTCAAACATTGAAATGGATGATATATTTTTTAAAATTAAATATTTTTATTGTAATAATTTTACAAATGTTTTGTTATTATTTTCTAACTTGACTGACTGATCTCCTATTCATTTGTAACCATTTAGTAAATGATAATAAAACTAATTGTGAATAGATTTTTGAGTATTTTCCTCATTAGAATTCTGTTTCTCTCACCTTAAAGATTTCGATTCAGTCACATGATCACGCATCTGAATTCAGACTGATATCTATGAAAGCATTTTTAGTCAGTTACCATTAGTATTCTATCTTGAAGTGAATTGTAAAAAAAAAGGTTTGCAATTTACTTTTTTTTTTTTGGAACTGGAGTCTCTAAATTCGTACAAAATGGGAGAATGACGATGTACAGAGTAAAACAAAAATGTTACCTTATAGAAGTAGGTGATTTTGGCGGAAGTGAAGCTAGGTCAAAACCACCATTAGGTGTTCCACCATTGGAGTATGGAGTTCGAGGATGTACTGGAAAAGCAGGGGTTTGCGGACGTGGAGAAGTGCTAGGGCTAGCTTCTGAAGCTGTGTAACCTTCATCCCGTAGCTGAAAAAATAACTTTAACAATTGAAATTTATATAATCTAATGATTTAAAAAAAAAACAGAAATATAACAAGCTAGTCAATATATAATATATATATTGACAAAAAATATATTAAAATATTGAAATATTAGCAAACTTATAGAGCCATTATTTGATTAAGCTTTTGTGATAATGATTTGAACATTTCTCATAAATCATAATAACAATTACATATTGTACCAATGTTTGGTAATAATTAGGAAATCACTTGTACAGCAAAATAATGAATTAAGTGTAATTTAAAAGATAAAATTAAAGTTTTTTATAACTCCATTACTTCAGTACCAAATTGACATTTTTATGGGAAAGATATTCTGATATACACTCAGACCTAATTAACCCATAATTCAATAACTTGTACAAATCTTGTCATCATGTTTGTAATTGACCATTATATATTTGTGCTTATTAACCTAACATTTTTTAAAATTACATTCCAATCATGTCTCCAAATAATTTGTTGAACAAATCATTTCAGACATTTTTTAACTTTTTATTTATTGATTACAACATATTTTGTTTTCATTTAAAATCTTGATAAGTTGAAGAAGGCTTATAATTTTTGACATTAATATAATGAGCTTTGATAGTTTAAAGTATCAAATTATTGAGATTAAACTGTCTACATATACTGATTACAGTGTATTTAACTCAACCTCTTTAACTTTAAACCAGAATATCTTTATTATCGAAAAATAATAAGAAATAGAATGATGAAATTTTTAATTTAAATGAATATGATGGAACATATATACATCAAGATATGTAAATAACCAGAGATAACTCTATAAAATTTTAGTTCTTGTTTGTCAGAATGTCTCTCGAAAAGATTATCCTATACTTATCATTCTCAACTTATTGAATAATTCAGAAGTAAGAAGCTTTGTTTATAGTATTTCATTTGTAGCAGTGAACTGTTAAGCATTCATGCTTAACATACCTATAATGCATACACACATATTGCTAAATTGGGAAGGAACGGTAGAAAATAAATAAATAAATATTAAAATTGTAACTGTATTCACTCATATTTTAGTAATATCTTTCACAATCCTAATATTTAAAGTAATTCAAATATATAGAATTATAAAGTTGATTTTAGTGCTAAATACCATTATTGATTCTGATGATATTTGTGTTGAAACATAATTCTACAGAGTAAAAAAAAACATTTTTATGTTTTTTTGTTTTGATAATTTAATATTTTATTTTTAAAAAATAAAATAAAATCTAAAGTTTAAGAATGGTGTGTAAATACCATTAAAGAATTGTGCTTTAAGAAAGGTTGGTGAGAACATGCAGACAGTGTTTTTTAAGTTGCATTCGTTAGAGGAATAAACCAAACTATTAGTTACTCAAAAAAATTCAATTCAAAACATCTGGAGTTTTACTTAACAGAAATGATAAGGTGAATATTCTGGAGGCCATGACAACTACATTTGTAACATGTTCTGGAATCGTATTCTGAAAATTAAATTGAAGTAATATTTTCTCAATGTGCAGTCAGTTTTAATGGAATCAGCATGAAGTTATATTATCCAAATGCCTAACGAGTCTTTTTCTGATTTCGAGAGAAGAAAGTTTGATATTTTATTCAGCTTTTAAAAATCAAAGAACTGTAACTTTAGTAACATAAAATGGTTAATGTAAACAATTTATTTGAATGAGAATAATATTTAAAAAAATATTCTGAAAAACATTATAATATATTTTGCATAGAGGCTACAAAAAGGATTGGTACACTTCATGTTGTGTTAAAGAACTAGAAAAAATATTGAACAAAATATTAAATTATGTTTTCAATTAAAGGATCATAAAACAATAAAAAAAACACTGTTATTTGTTTGATTTCATTTTCATTAATTGATTTCATAAACAAATAAGCGTAATAACAATTTTTACATTAACATAAAACTTGGTTTTAGGTTTGATTTGTACTGTTAAAATAACTAAAACGACAAAATAAGAGTTAATTGCTAAGTCAAGGATCAATGTAGTTTTGGATTAACCAGTTCTGACTTAAATATTTTGCAAATAAAATAATTTGTTTAATATTTGTTCTTATTTAGTCACTAGTTTAGGGTCACTTTTATCATACTACTAATACCTTCTTGAGACCAGATGAACTTGAACCTGACCAGGAGGAAAGGATATGGACTTGTATAGAACAGAGCTGCATCACTGACCTAGCAACTAGCCCTTAGATTTATAAATATTTAAATAATTAAGATGGATTCTAAGTTTTTATTTTTGTTTAAATTAAAGTATTTTAGTTTTTCATTTTTTTTTCATTTTACATTTCTAAAAATGCAGGTAAACCTGTAAATGTAAAATGATTTAGACCTACAAACTTCCTCAAAATTTTGTTGTTCCTCATTTTTATCATTTTACCATTGATCAAAATCCTGTTTGTTTTATTATATTGAGCAAATATAAAAAACAAAAAAGAAATATTGATCAGATGGTTGAATGAGAACCATGCATGGGCCACGACATGATGGATTAAATTTGCCACAAAAATATTCTATAACAACAAAAACATTTTGTTCATAAATGCACTAGCTGAGTCCAAAATTTAATTTTTGAGAGAGTTATTTTTCCTTTTAATATAATGGTAATTACTCTGGAAGAAAAAAACAATGAAACTACAAAAAATGATATTTAAGTAGTCCTTTTAGGCCAGTTTTAAATCTTAATTACTGTAACAATAATTTTTTTATGGATTATTTTTATTTTGATACTTGTTGCTTACATTGTGTATGTTATACATGTGAGTGTATGTTATAACTTGAAAAGAGTAGGTATATATTGTGATTGTTTAAATATTTAGCTCTTTTCACTCACAGAAACAAATATGGACCAAAGAAAAAAAAAAACTTTTTCAATTTGGGGAGCTTCAACCCGAAAGCCTCTCCTGTGCCAGATCGATCCATCAGACCATAAGTGGTAAGAAAGTTGACCGAAATTATTCATGAAAAGATTCACTCTATGAAAATTTCATGAATGATTGAAAATTTTAGGAAAAATAAGGATACCAATTTTTTTGTAGCCATCTAATACTTGGGCATAAGTTAGATTGGTAAGTTTTCATTAAATTTAATTTGAATATGGATTCATGTGAATCTGATTCTGTTAATGAAATAGCTGATTTTATTAAAACACTAAAGTGTTTTTAAGGAATTATTATTACCTAACAAATAAGTAGCCTTGAAATACTTGCAGGTATGATATTGTATTAATAAATAAATAACAAACATTGTTCCTAAAAATAATGACACATTTTATTAAATTTTCAATAATATTTTTAAATCTCAGCTTAATAAAATTTAATGTTTTTGAATATGCTTAATGTTAAAAATTGTTTTAAATTTACCCCTTCCATAAAAAAAATAAATAAATAAAAATAAAAACAAATAATACATCAGAGAGCATCTTATTTATTTCATATATATATATAAATATATATATATATATATATATATATATATATATATATATATATATGCTGTGACATAAACCATAGTTCTCTTCTGTTTGTGAGATAACTGTCTTACCACTCCACACAGTGACCCATTTCACTATGAAGAAGAGAGTAAGATAAATACCATGTTTCTATTCCTATCTTGACACTAAAATCGCCAGCGAGGCTATCCCCACTACTGGAAATTTAATATTTTCCTACTTATCTCTCATAATAAATAAAAGACAAAAAAGAGGGGAAAAAGAAGTTAGTAAGCCTTGTAATATTATGAATCATGTAATGATATGAGTCTTTAAGAAAAAATAAATTAAAATTAGTCAAGTGAATTAAACCTTATAAAATGATATAACAATTGTATGTAAAATAAACATTTAAGCATTAGTACACCAAGGCTATAAGATTTGAGCTAAGAGTGTACAGAGTGTGATTAGGAAAGCTTTATGGTGCTAGTTTTATGCTACTACTAACCTGTATGTCATTGGGAGTAGGCCATTGTTCAACAGTTGGTTCGGTAGAGCTAGTGGTGCTAGGCTCATCTCCAGCCAGGCTGCTTGTGGCTCCGTTCTCTGCGAGGCTCAGCAGCCCGCTATCCACATCGGAGGTACCAGTTGGACTCTATAGGGGTAAATCCATCTACCTTTCTAGTATATGTACATTCAGGACCAACTCTCATTACATTCATTTATTTCATATTTATCAACAGTGCTATCTTAATAATAGTGGATTTTGTACTTATAGTTTTAGTTTGTATTTTGTTGAATGAATCTACGAATTCTTTTACAATTCAATTCTATTGACTATTCAGGGGAAAAGTGTTAAAACAAATTATTTATAGGGAATGTGCCTGATCCATAAGATTTGTTTAAAGTAACTAATATTTTTTGGACTTTAAAATTGAATTGGATTTTTTAAAAATGATTTTTGGAACAATATACATTTTAAAAAAAATAAATTATTTCATTTGATACAAGTCAATGTAATTATCCAATGCATAATTTAAACTTAAGCTACCAAGGTAATGCTTGAACAACCAATCTAATGGCTTCACTACTTTGATATAATATTTATATGTTTGTGGGAACAAGTTGCAGATTAAATTATGGCCCATGCTCTTTATATAGAGAGAATATAAAATGAATGCAATGCAAATAAGAAGCTTCTATATTAAGGATGTTCGTCTCCATAAATAGTTTTAATAAAAGCACAACAAAGTTTCTAATTTAACACACAGAGGAAAGAAGTAATGAGATTTTCTTAAACTACTTTTTCTTGGAGTATACATTATGGATAATATTCTACAATAAGTGTTTTATTTAGGTTCCTATTAATGATGGTTACCAAATTATCTTGTGATATATGATTGATGGTTATTGTTACATAAGTAATGAATAATGGAAATGATTTGATTTATTTCTAAAAACTTATATATATATTCTAGCTCATAGATAAATTTAGCACTGTTGGTAAATAGAAATAACCATAAATTTAATGCTTCACAATCAAAAGTTCCATTAATTGCTTTTATTTTACAACATTAGTTATTCAAACTTCTTGATAAAGTAAATGCTTTATTTTACACAAATTACATTTTTTTTTGTGTGAAAAAATAAGATTAATGGAACTTAATGTTTATAGCCAAACAGGATGGGTATGTGCACAGTGTTAGTCGAGCAGCGTTCCTTGCAGCACTGTTAAGGGCAAGTGCAAAAGACAAGGAACAAAAAATACATATAAGGCAGGCTGTGATTGAAAAAGCTATTGGTTACAGTGCAAGAAAAAACTATGTAAAAAGAACAAAACAACATTAGGGAAACCAATTTAAATCTGAATGTTTATCAATAAACACAAAACATTGTGATTATACAGAATATTATATTTTATTTCCTAAACCTACAACTAATATAGTGATAATGCACATATAGCAAGTGTACTGTCCCTACCTCGACTAAGCTTACTAACCATTATTTAAATAGATAAAAAAAAAAAAAAAAAATACAAGTCAATCAATTTAATTAAACTTTTTTTTTTGTTGAAACTATGCCTGTAATCATATTGTGTTAAGTGATACAAACATTCCAATAGGTTTTGAAATTTATGTGATCTGATAGAAAATATATTTTTCTCTTCATTCAATGAATTTACTATAATAATGATATTTTTGTTTGATTGGTCCATACTATTGGGCATTACCCTTTGTAATGCTCACTGATTTTTATTTGTGCCAAAACACACACACAAAAAAAAAGGTAATTTAATCTACTGTTAGTTTATCTTACTCTTTTGAATACACAGTACAGTAGTAATACAGAAACATGCCAAATGTAACGTATTTTTGCTGAATATGTGATTTTAGAGTTCTAAGATAAGAAAAAAAGCTAACTTTCAACTTATTTTGAAGTAGATATTCAGTTTGTTGTATCCAATATTTTCTTCTAATCAGAAAATATTTTAAGCAACAAACAGTGAATCTTTTGAATTCAATATAGCCCTTTTTGGGGGGAAATGATTACTTATAATATGTTAAACAAATGATCATTTTTATTAAGAAAATAAAATATTACTTCTACCAAACTTTTACTGGTTTATCTTAAACTATCCACCCAACTCTTGCAGAAAAAAGAAGAAGAATATTGGGAAAGGAACGGTAGAAAATAAATATTAAAATTGTAACTGTATTCACTCATATTTTAATAATATCTTTCAGAATCCTAACATTTAAAGTAATTCAAATATATAGATTTATAAAGTTGATCTTGATGAGTTTAGTGATTAACACTATCATTGATTCTGATGATATTTGTGTTGAAACATTATTCTACAGAGTAAAAAAAAACAAAACATTTTTATGTTTTTTCTTTTGTTTTTATAATTTAATATTTTATTTTTAAAAAATATAATAAAATCTAAAGTTTAAGAATGGCAGATCAGAAAAGAAAGTTTAAGAATGGAAGATAAGAAAAAAAGCTAACTTTCAACTTATTTTGAAGTAGATATTCAGTTTGTTGTATCCAATATTTTCTTCTAATCAGAAAATATTTTAAGCAACAAACAGTGAATCTTTTGAATTCAATATAGCCCTTTTTGGGGGGAAATGATTACTTATAATATGTTAAACAAATGATCATTTTTATTAAGAAAATAAAATATTACTTCTACCAAACTTTTACTGGTTTATCTTAAACTATCCACCCAACTCTTGCAGAAAAAAGAAGAAGAATATTGGGAAAGGAACGGTAGAAAATAAATATTAAAATTGTAACTGTATTCACTCATATTTTAATAATATCTTTCAGAATCCTAACATTTAAAGTAATTCAAATATATAGATTTATAAAGTTGATCTTGATGAGTTTAGTGATTAACACTATCATTGATTCTGATGATATTTGTGTTGAAACATTATTCTACAGAGTAAAAAAAAACAAAACATTTTTATGTTTTTTCTTTTGTTTTTATAATTTAATATTTTATTTTTAAAAAATATAATAAAATCTAAAGTTTAAGAATGGCAGATCAGAAAAGAAAGTTTAAGAATGGAAGATAAGAAAAAAAGCTAACTTTCAACTTATTTTGAAGTAGATATTCAGTTTGTTGTATCCAATATTTTCTTCTAATCAGAAAATATTTTAAGCAACAAACAGTGAATCTTTTGAATTCAATATAGCCCTTTTTGGGGGGAAATGATTACTTATAATATGTTAAACAAATGATCATTTTTATTAAGAAAATAAAATATTACTTCTACCAAACTTTTACTGGTTTATCTTAAACTATCCACCCAACTCTTGCAGAAAAAAGAAGAAGAATATTGGGAAAGGAACGGTAGAAAATAAATATTAAAATTGTAACTGTATTCACTCATATTTTAATAATATCTTTCACAATCCTAACATTTAAAGTAATTCAAATATATAGATTTATAAAGTTGATCTTGATGAGTTTAGTGATTAACACTATCATTGATTCTGATGATATTTGTGTTGAAACATTATTCTACAGAGTAAAAAAAACAAAACATTTTTATGTTTTTTCTTTTGTTTTTATAATTTAATATTTTATTTTTAAAAAATATAATAAAATCTAAAGTTTAAGAATGGCAGATCAGAAAAGAAAGTTTAAGAATGGAAGATAAGAAAAAAAGCTAACTTTCAACTTATTTTGAAGTAGATATTCAGTTTGTTGTATCCAATATTTTCTTCTAATCAGAAAATATTTTAAGCAACAAACAGTGAATCTTTTTAATTCAATAGAGCCCTTTTTGGGGGGAAATGATTACTTATAATATGTTAAACAAATGATCATTTTTATTAAGAAAATAAAATATTACTCCTACCAAACTTTTACTGGTTTATCTTAAACTATCCACCCAAATCTTGCAGAAAAAAGAAGAATATTGTTGATCACCAGACCATTATTTATTTTTTTTTCTGTTACCACCTATCTTGGCATTTTGGGCTGGGGGAGGAGGATTGTACTGAATGTACGACCAAACCTATTATAACCAGAGTGGAAAGGTCGAGATTCATTCCGTGGTCCTGTCATAAAATGAATTTCAAACCACTCCAGAATTGAACTGGCACCGCTAGACTCAAGAATTTTAATGCGCACAACGCTTCAAGGCACTCGACCATAACGACCTATGTTTATTCTTCACGTCCTTAAGGCTGTAATCCGAAATTACCGGGTCGTAGAATGGCTACTGACTAAAAGATAAGCAGAAGGAGTGGACTCACCGCTTCCCTCCTGGCGCGGTCGGCGGAGCGGGCCCTGGCCATCCTGACCGAGGAGGTGCGCTGCGGGAGGTGCGGGCTGACGGGGGCGGAGCCGGCCCCCTTGCTGGTGTTGATGTGGAGCGGCACGCTGTAGTCCCCGGCCTGGTCGGAGCTGTAGCCGGTCTCCCTGCGAGAGGCCTCCGCGGCCAGCAAGGCGCTCCGTTCGGTTCGCCGCTCCCGCAGCTTGGCCTGCTGTCGTTCCAGCCAGCTCAGCTGGCTCGAGTTGTCTTGCGAAATGCTCACTCCGCTAACAACCGTCCTGGAACAGAAGAAAATATATTTAAGATAACTAAAAGTTTGTGGTCTTAATTTTTAAAAGATATATTCTTAATGATTTTCCATTAAGGAGATCAGAAGGCAAGAGGTCGAAAACTATATATTTTTTCCTATATAGCATTTAACGTAGAAATTAACACTAGGCATGTAACTGACAAAGATATCCAAGTATAAATAAATACTTTAAGTGGAGATAGCTCGATATTACTTGCCTGTTTGGCTTATAACTCATTAAAGACTTCATAGTACGTATATTTGTGTTAATATCGAAAATATTCATACAAAATAGAATAAGAGGTGTCCCATTCATTGTATTACATCATCTTCGTCGCGTATCCGTTAGACACGAGGCTTAATTTTTCACGAATCTTAGGTTTAATGCTTAAAGAAAATCAAATTGTGGTGATAGTCTCTTAAAAATACTAGTACAACTGTTAAAAGAAGCTTGTACAACCATAAAGTAACAAAAACTAAACCAAAGATTAGAAAATTATGAAACGAAAAAAATAATTGGAATATATTATTTTACCTATCAGAACTGTGGATAATAAATAATACATCTACGGTTTTGAAGAACTTGCTAAGATTAAATATGCTATGAATGATAATTAAATATAGGAGATGATTAAATATGCATTTAAAAAAAAGTTAAAAAATAAAAAAAAAATGTTTATTTTATAAGCATAACTAAAAGCTTTAGATAGAGAAGGATCGAAGAATATCTTAAATGAGATGGGGAGGAGGCTTTTGGGCAAAAGCCTCAAAATAGTAAAATATAACCATTTCTCATGAAAAAATACTACTAAAAAATTATCTTTAAAAGTATTATGGTCCTTATATGTTTAATAGGAAGTAAATAATCACTTAAAAGCCATTTCATATAGGTAGTATCTTTCTATAGGTAGTATCTTTCATATAGGTAGCATCTTTCTTCTTCTTCTAAATATAATTTATATATATATATATATATATTTTTAAATTTATTAATTTTTTTTTTCGATTGGCGCTACAGACCATGATGATCTTTGACCATAAGTGTGGTCTCCTAGACCACATCCCGATGCCCGATTTAAAGTACGGGATAGGGTCATCAATCCTACGCCCGGTCGGTGTGGGTTGCCTCCCGTAGGCTGACGGCTCTCACATACTCGAGAAGGGGGGTGAGGAATCGCGAGCAGCGTGGCTTTCCTTGGTGGACGGTCACCTATCCAGGTGCTAGCCACGCTCGGCGTTGCTTAACTTTGATTACCTATTGCAAGAGCCTTAGCCCGCAAGGCTACCCTAGCCCCCATAATTTATATATATATATATATATATATATATATATATATATATATATATATATATATATATATATATATATATATATAAATACACACACATATATATGTAAGTTTTCAGACTGAAGCCCTCCATAATCCAATCCTGGATCCACTAACGATAATAATTATCAAGATTAGATAAAGGAAGGGGTGAAGATCCCTAATAAAGACGAGATTCATAGAAAAATTGGAGCTGAAATTAATGAGGTATAAAGTCAACTATGTGAAATTTCTCTCAAATTCGGTTCATAAATTGCGTTGGACTGCAACTAAATCATTCGAATAACTATTCTGTTATTCTCAGGAGGTTGAGTAGGAACCGTTCCAGGCCTCGCCCCTAAGGACTAAATCCTCAGCGGGTTCATAGAATCGATTCTGTGCCTCCAGAGTTCCACGGTCAACGACGCTAGCCATTGAACAAAAATGACGGAACTATTAAAATAATTTATCAAATTGTATTCGAGAAATAAACTTAATATAATGATGATATTACAAAAGATTTAAGAGATCACTCTTGGCAAATGATACGTTATAATGATGCACTAAATAGTTAAATATATTTTAAAATAATTAAAATTTTATTTAATTTATTGTTACGGGCTGACTGCTGAATGATGAGTAAAGCTTGCTTCCTATCTTTGAAACTGGCTGGTCGAACGATGGTGTTAACTGTAAGAGAAAAAGAAATTCATCGACAATATTTAAATTTTTTATTATAAGTTGGGTGAAATCCAAGAATAAATGATATATGATACGGTTACTCGCCTGTAATGTTATTACAGGAAAGATTTTTTCACTTATGATGTTATGGTTAGGAATTCAACATTCAGTGGCGAATATATGAACAGGTAGAGTAGGAAATTGCCAGCGGAGACAAGTATAAAAATTTCTTCCCTGTGGGTGGCAACAAGTTGTTAGCACAATCCACTCCTGCCAGCATTCAAGATTTGTTTAAATGAAAAAAATATATATATATGGGAAGTTAATCTTCATCCTATCTAGAGGTTGTCACTATTTTTTTTATTAAGTTTCATTTAAGTGATTGACACATAATATTAACCGACCTAAGTGACATTTTAACCAACACTGCAAAGAACAAGGAACACAGAAACTCTCACGTGGCGGATATACAGGTAGCATAGTCTTCTTTTTTCGTTGAACTTAATATTAATACAAATGAAAATATGAACAAATCAGAACTTATTAGGATTTTATTTTAGATGGTAAATTATTTTTATTTTTTAAACGATACCAGGAAATGAGAAACAGCGGACTTGGTTACATGGATTCATTGTGGGCAACCAGCTCGCCCACTCCCAATGTCAAAGTTAAGGTGATGTGTAATTCTCGTGGGATTAGAACGAGCTCTATATCTTCAAACTCTATATGACCAAGTTCTAAAACACCATCTGTTTCTCATTATGTATTCATATTGTATTTTTATCACCTATAAAGTTTGAAAAAAAAACACAAAATATAAGTTCTAACTTTAAAAGTCAAGAATTACTATAAGGAACGATTAGGTCACGTTTAATTTTCAAGTGTATAGGAACATCTTAGACAATTTTAATTCAAAGTTCAATGGTAATGGGTGTTTGTCAGAGGACGATGACTGCCCACCATTGTGTTTTTTCGGTTCATAAGATATAAACGATAGCTTGTACGGCGGACGGACTAACATTTTTTGCTCCCTGAAACGTGAAACCTCACATTTTGAGAGGGGGTTAAGTTTTTGAATTTTTTGGTCGATCACAATGTTTCATTATTGAAAATAATAAACCAAAAATATTTTAAAAGCGCGATATCTCTACTAATAGTGCTTTGATTTCGATGAAATTTCCTTCATTTTTTAGGAAATTTAAATACCTTTGAAACATCTTATCACAATATAGACAAAACACTTGTCTACAATAAATAAAATTAAAGGTATAATTTCCAGTTTTATCTATGTTTTAGTGTTGTTTTTTTTGGCTTATGATATGAGACAAAATCTTATTATTCTGGTATTTTTTAATGTTATTTCTAAGATATTCTCCCAGCCTAATGATTTTCACAATAGGATCCCGCCAGACAAGGTCAGCTTGTTTAACGAGTTGTATTCTGTCATCAATAAATGTAGGGACATTACTTCAAATTTATAACAGTGTAACAACACTAATAAATGAAGGCTTAAGAAAGACACTCCCACGGCAGTGCCAATTGATGGAGTATTTATGTTCTTTCCTTTTCGATTGAGGTCAATTAAAGCCAATTAATGTCCGCAATAGTTAATTTGATCCGACTAAACTGTGACGATCTTGTGAACATCCTATGTGTGATCCAACGTTCATGGTCTGAAAGATGGAAATGCAATTTTTAGATACAAAGTCACGGTTCGTACATTTAGCAGCACCCAATAAAAAAATCTATAAGAGTTTTAGAATAGTAATGTATTGAATTTATGCATAGAAAGATTTCTTCAATTATGATGTAATATACACCATAAGCAATCGCAGGCGGATCTACAGTGTGGGAAGAGGGGCTTTCGGGCTGAAGCCCTCCCTCCTTCAAAATGGTAAAACGTAACCATGTTTTATGGTATAAAATATTAAAAAATTATGTCTTAAAGTATTATTACTCGCTTTATTACATTTAACAGGACTTCAAGAATCATTTAAACACAATTTCATATAGGTAGTTAACATCTTTTTTTTTTATCGTTGTATATATGAAAAAGAAACTTCCGGGCTGAAGCCCCCCCCAAAAAAATTAAATTCTGGATACGCTAGTGCAAACAATGGAGTATCATATTTACAAAGGCTTTACCCGACAGAACTTAACTGTCACAATAATGGCAGATTGCCTAACGTTTGCACAGGAGCATGTGTATTTGAATAATTATTAGGTTCCTAAGATCTAGGTCCAGAATCGCTCTTAACAGTTAAAAACCGAGATATAAAACTATAAAGGAAGCAAGTTTTTAAAATTAAATGAAAATTTTTAAAGTTAAAAGTTAATTTAATTGAATTCTTATTTATACTTTTATTTATTTAATTTGTTAGAGTAAAGAAATAATTTGAATGAAATTACTGATCCATTAGTTTAATTACATTTTATTTAGCTTGATTTTTTGGAGAAGTGATTTGCTTCAACAGGACTTTTAAATAAAATTTCCATGAGAAAAAGTACTTATTATATCATTTACTAAATTAAAATAATATGAACTATTTAATATAATAATATATTATTTTGTAAATAATTAAAACAATTAGAAATAAAAATACCAGTCATATCGGAATTGATCAAAAATAAAAGTTAACTTTTCATTTCCAGCCCTTTTAAGAACGAAAACGTCGATGAAGAGTAAGAACTGAGAAAAGTATACATTCGTCAATGCCTCCAAGAATTACTGACGAAAAAGCAAGTCAGTGAATCGGAAGATTTTTTGAAAGGAAAACTTCTTTAGGCGTGTTTCGTATTTTTTTGTGCGGAGTGAATGAGACTGAGCTGTCAGTCTCTGACATGTAACGCTCATTTGGGTAAAGTTGGCTGGAGTCGATTAATTAAAGTGTTTTTACATACATGTGGATTAAAATATCTCAGAAATTAAAAATTGGAACTGCATTTTGTAATCGAGAGAAATGTTCAGCATTTCAACCTCTTTATAATGAGCTATTAATCAAAAGATTATCTTAACGTGATACCGCGTTAGAGAGAGATAAAATAATGACGAAAACCAAATGTAATGAGTTTTATTGAAGATATGGATTAAAATATCTTAAAAACTGAAAATCGGACCTGAATATTGTGAGCGAGAGAAATTTTCAGCATTTCATTCCCTTTGAAATGAGCCATAAATTATATATATATTATTTTGTGAATACAGAACAAAAATAGTTTTTATATAAATATAATTATATTATATTGTACATTTTATTGCTTTCTGAATATAGAACAAAGAAACATTTATATTTCATGTTATTACTCACGTCTTTATGATATTTTCATTTCTATCGTATGGT